TAACAATAATCTATCGATTTTACGAAGTCCTGCTCCCGACGCTTCCGAGAATCGGTGTCGCCCACGATCAACAAATAGACATCGAAGAGAAGTGTCGATAGATAACAAGAGCATCCTTCGAATGTCAACAGCAAACTCGCGGTTTGGAGATTCTGGCCTTGGTCCTTACTCACCAAGGAATTTATCTATTGGTGGACGTAATGTGATGGATGAAGTACCTCCACTCCCTACGGGGCCCATCAAGAGTTTTACCCCAGGGCCATGCGACGCAATTCCGTCCTCGTATCGTTTTGAAAGTAAAGAGGACTTCGAAAAGGATCGTGTTACAGGGGCCAGCCCTCCGAAGAATCAACAAAAGAAGGGCGTGTTTGGAAGTTCCGATTTCGGTCTGCCTTCACAACCAAAACTTCCCAGAAATCCGGAAGATGGCACCATCCTTCGGCAGCCTTCGAATGCCACCACCAACTCTACCACCTCCTCGAGGAGTTTCAGATATGTTGTTCAAGAGAAGGGTATAGCTAACAAACCAGAATATGGGCCCTCAATGTCCCCGACACATGAGTATCGAATTGATCAAGACTTTTCTGTCTCTAACTTTGCGCGAGACCTCGGGCTAAGTCATAGCACACATCCATCAATCTCTTCAACTGGAACCACGCTTTCAGATATGACTAGTGGGAGCTCTCACTCTACAAGACCTTCCGAAGTGTCAAACGAGACGTCGCCACTGAAATCTGCCTCAGGAAATTTATCTTCGTGGGATAGCTCAACACTTGACTTGGAACCCAGTCGCCCAGATGATCTGTTTGGGGATGGTGTGGATTCTCCAACCGATCCGTCTTTCCAAAACGGGCACTTGTTATCAATGATCTGGGAAACGGACCGATCCAATGGCTCTGGCTCAAAGCTAAGATCAGGTTTACCTCCTGAACCGACAGTAAATGATGCAAGATCTCCCCCGACACAAGCTCTCACTCGCAATGCCACACGGACTCCTACAGGCCGCAGAAACAGGTGTCGAGGATGCCAGCAAATCATTGTTGGGAAGTCCATATCATCTGCAGACGGCCGGTTGACGGGCCGGTGGCACAAAGCCTGCTTTGTCTGCTACACATGTCGCTCCCCCTTCCAAACTGCCGATTTTTACGTCCTCGACAACCTCCCTTACTGTGCTCAACACTACCATGAATTGAACGGCTCGCTCTGTGGCGCCTGCAACACTGGCATCGAAGGACAGTGCCTGGAAACGGAAGAGGAAACAGATAATTTAGGAGGGGGAACACGAAAAAAGTACCATCCGGATTGCTTCAAATGTCGAACGTGCTCTATGGTGTTGCGGGGCGATTATTTCGAATGGAATGGCATTCCATATTGCGAGCAGGATGGACGGTGTGCTGCATCTGCGACGTATCCGCCTCAACCCTCACATATGATGCCACCGGAGGGAGGGTCGGGCTATAATAGATGGCCATCCCACTCTCCAGCGGGGGGATATCCTGGAGGATACGGACCAGGACCCGGAGCTGGTCCAAGAAATGGGCCAGGCGGGAGTACTGGAATGCGATATCCATCATCGAACTCGAACCTGAGAGTTCCCCCGCAGGGCATGACGTATAATGGTCGACGATACCCTGAGCGGAGGACGACCAAGTTGATGATGATATAACACCAAGTCCGCTCCTTCCACTCGACAACGTATATTTGATTCTAGTATTGATCAGGTTGACGACATGGGCGAGATACAAATCAACCCTTGTTTTCTATGGCTTTATAGTTTTCTTTTATTTTTGTGTTTGTTTAAAAAGTTCTTCCCTATTCCATCCACTTTTTGCTAAGGCATGGCATGGTGTGGCATTTGAAGTCTTCCTTTTGTTTTGACATACGACCGCCTAGTTATTGCACCGTTTCTGTATACACTTGACTCCCTCCTGAATATTTGATACCATTCACACACCTACATGTTTCTGTTTGCTTGTCTTCCCTTTCTAAATATATACCCATTTTACCTTCCTTTTGCTGTTTTTGGGCCATCTTGACTCCGCGTTTTGTCACCCCCCTCCGTTTCTTTCTCTAGATGCCCTTCCTCTTCTTTTCTCCCTCATATTTTTTTCAGCCAGCACCATTAACTTATGTCTCCATACCCAACCTAAATGTCTTTTCAATCCCAGAATGCCTCTCCGGTGTTTCATCCATCCATCATTCCTCAGGAAACGCTCTCTAATTCATGTACATACATAACTTGTTCACAATACGGGTCTATCATTTAGGTGTGGCTAGCTGTGTTTGCATCTAATTTACATACATTAAGCCCTACATTCATCCTTCTGTTTCATTTCAAAAAACTTCACACCTCTACTCTCTACATGTGATGACTCAACCAAATCATAGGTTATAGCACCCATATTCACAGTATTCGATCATGAACCTCCAAAAGCATTGGTTTCTCTGTTTGATATCCATATACTGTAAAATTCACAAGGACTCCTTTGATAGAAATAGGCGTGAGGAAAGTATTTTTTTTATTTTATTTTTTTTATATATATATATATTCTGATCATATCTGATCATAGGAGGAGTGAGACAATTCTCATTCCTTACTTCTTTCAATGTTTCAGTCAGAATCCCACCCTTACCTTAGAATTTTGACAGTAAAAGGCCGTCCGCGATAGCCAACATTGATTTGGCTCAGGTTCAGAAAAGAGTTCAAACCAAGAATGAAACGATTCCATTGCTATCTCGCCCCCATTTTCCTCTTCGAACCAAAAAAACCTTCAATAGGAGTGGGGATTGTCAGGCACACATGTATTTTTTAGGTGAGCGGTAACTTTCACATTCTTCATGTTGAGCTTCGCACTACAGGTTTCCAAGGATCTCCTGAGGACTCCTTACGTTACCCCTCCTCGACGAAATAACTATTGACGTTTCAACAACCTACCTGCATGCTAACCGGATGACTGCGGCTGCTGTTGTTCAAGCAAAACCCCGAAAATGAGCAACCATAACTTGCCCGCCTGGTCCAAACGCTCATTCGATGAATGAGTCAGAAAGATAGATAGACACATTGCGCAAGATCGCTGCAGGCACAAGATGTAATGCATGAAGACTAACTCTAATTTCAGCGCCACGATCCAAGCAATCCAACCAAGGCTCAACGTTGACTAAAACAGGCACCTCCGGTTGTTAGTAAACTGACCGCTATTTGCTTCCTCGGACATTCGAACATAAACTCCCCTTGTGGCCCCTTTCAAGTTATTAATTGACTTTCCATCAGAGTCCTCGTCATCTGTGTGCTAATACCAATGAACACAACGTTAATGGACAACTGTGCTCAACCTCCAAACACAAAACGTAATTCTCTAGATCTATCCCCACTGGCCACCTGAAGGTTAGGGTTAAGTTCTGTGAACATGTCAACGGCAAGTGGAAAACGCAACAGTAATCTGAAGTTTTAGAGAGATATACTTTGATCATGCTATTCTTTTCGTTGCCTGTTATTTGTTGGGCGTCAGGAGGATCTTAAATCTGCAGTTCGCTTATAGAAGGGCTCTCCCACCTACATTGTACAGTAATTACCTAGCATGGAACAGGGACAAATATTCGTACGCCCCGCGTATCGCCCTACATACAGCCAGAGTGCAGAATATTGGAATCGGCTATGTAGCGGATAATGTATGTATGTATGCTCTTGAATCTGCACGTATGATCTATGTATACAAACAGGATCCTGATCCCCGATCCTCTTGAACAAAACCCAAAGCCGCAGGGTTTCTGCCTTAAGAACGAGGCTGTCAGTAACTACTGTCGACAGAGAACTGTTGCAGCCAGTTCCCAAATAAGTCCCCGAATTGCCAATGCCTTGGCGAGAATAGGAGGGTTGCCAATCTGATGTTATCGAAGGTGGGGGGGAGGGGGAATTCGTCTTGGAACAGAGGACTTCGGGAGCCCGTGTGTGGAGTTCTCTGATGATGATTTTGAGAAGATACGATTATTGTCTGAGAGTAACTAGTTAGCAGAGAGCCACCCCTTTTTCTTCTTCTTCTTCTTCTTCTTCTTCTTCTTCTTTTTGGGAGGAAGAAAAGGAAACGAATCTGTTTGGTAGCAGCAAGATAGGCGACCCACGGAAGCGGCGGTATCTTGACCAGTTAAAGAACAGCTTTGGGGAATGCCACAGACAAAGAGAGGAACGGTTGAATTCGGGGGGGGGGGGGTTGGGGGTTGTAATTTTTTACATATGATATGCTGCAGAAGAGGCATATGTTGACCTACATTATGCTGCATAAATCCACATCTCATCTCCCTCCGCTCTGCTCCACAGCCAACAAACAATCCTTGACAAAAGATTCCGCTGTATACGTACAAGGGTATATGTAAGTAGGTTGTATTAGCGGTGGGTTGGAGCCCCACACCGCAGATACAGAACTTCCGGCATCCGATCCCGGTGCCTGGCGCCGGGCTACAAAAACATCTCCCATCCCCCTACCCCGGTTCGTTCTCCTCCCTCCAACCCAACCAACTTTAACTTCGTTCGATCCCATCCGGCTATTCTTCCACCTCAACTCTCTGAAACCTTTCGATCACTCTCAAGGAAGTGATCCATCAATACCGCCAAAACGTTTTCCAATCTCCTGCCCTCGTAAGTTCCCGTCGGGCCATGTTTAACTTGCCTCTTTACCTGCCCCCCTAAGCCGTTTCACTTTCACACACGCTCTCTTTCTGGTTACATTGAATATAATTGCCACTGTTCTCTAGTTCAACCTTTTTCCTCGTTGGAATGGAATTGCTCATATTTTGTTAGGTCGCACCACCCGTTCAACGGAAGCCGACGCTCGTCCGCTCGTGGAGGAGCATCGGATTCACCATTCGTTCGATAAATTAACCTAGGTCTCTTGACTGCCAATTGAAGCGAGAGAATTTTAAATTTCTTGTTCAGTTACACGCCCAATTCTTCTCAATTCCCTTCCGACACACTCGCGCCAATTTTCCGTGTTAGACAAGTCAAGATGGCTCCCCATGCCCAAGAGAACGCCAACGGCTCCTTGAACGGGTCGGTGCAGACGTGCAAGCCCTCCCTTTTCTCCGTCGACTCTCCAAATGTTGTTTACTCGGATGAGGAGATCAAAACGAGGTATGTATACCGCACTACTGCCGTCACTCGTGGTGCAGATGGTACGTATGTTGCCTCTCCCAAGGAGTCTGCCTATGACTTCAAGGTTGACCGCAAGGTCGGCAAGGTCGGCATGATGCTTGTTGGCTGGGGTGGAAACAACGGTACCACCGTTACGGCTGGTATACTTGCCAACCGTCGTGGTCTCGTTTGGGAGACGCGCGAGGGCAAGCGTACCGCGAACTACTACGGCTCCGTCATCATGGGTTCCACCGTCAAGCTGGGTACCGATCCGGAAACCGCTTCGGACGTCAACATTCCCTTCCACGACATGTTGCCCATGGTCCATCCCAATGACCTGGTCATTGGAGGTTGGGACATCAGTGGCATGAACCTCGCTGATGCCATGGACCGCGCTCAAGTTCTTGAGCCGTCCCTGAAGCAGCTGGTTCGCAAAGATATGGCTAAGATGAAGCCACTGCCAAGTATTTACTATCCCGATTTCATCGCTGCCAATCAGGAGGATCGTGCCGACAACGTCGTTGAGGGCTCCAAGGCCTCGTGGGCTCACATCGAGAAAATCCGGCAGGATATTCGGTAAGTCGTCGTCCTCCACCTCCCTGGTATACAGGAAGACATATACCTGATTGTCTATGCTACAGTGAATTCAAGTCTGCGAATGGATTGGATAAGGTCGTCATTATGTGGACCGCCAATACTGAGCGTTATGCAGACATTATCCCCGGCGTGAATGACACCCCGGAGAACCTCCTCCAGGCCATCAAGGACGGCCATGAGGAAGTTTCTCCCTCAACCGTTTTCGCGGTTGCGTCCATCTTGGAAAATGCTCCCTTCATCAATGGCTCTCCACAGAACACCTTTGTTCCCGGAGCTGTCAAGCTTGCTGAGCAACACGAAGCCTTCATTGGTGGAGATGACTTCAAATCAGGCCAGACCAAGATGAAGTCCAGCCTTGTCGATTTTTTGATCAACGCTGGAATCAAGCTTACTTCCATAGCAAGCTACAACCACCTGGGTAACAACGATGGCAAGAACTTGAGTTCCCACAAGCAATTCCGCTCCAAGGAAATCTCCAAGTCCAACGTCGTGGACGATATGGTTGCCGCCAACTCCATTCTGTATAAGAAGGATGAACACCCAAATCATACCGTGGTAATCAAGTATATGCCAGCTGTCGGAGACAACAAGCGTGCACTTGACGAGTACTACGCTGAGATCTTTATGGGAGGCCACCAGACCATCAGCATGTTCAACGTTTGCGAGGACTCCCTTCTCGCCTCTCCGCTGATCATCGACTTGGTCATCATCGCCGAACTCATGACTCGTGTTACCTGGAAACCCGCCGATGGCGGTAAGTACAAGGGCTTCCACAGCGTTCTCAGCGTTCTGAGCTATATGCTTAAGGTAATAAACAAACACTTTCCTTTTCATCTCTATATCGAGACTTTTGGATAAATTAAATGGCCTTTTTAAACTAACTTTCCTGTTCCAGGCCCCAATGACCCCACCAGGAACTCCAGTGGTAAACTCTTTGAGCAAGCAGCGCGCCGCTATCACCAACATCTTCCGTGCCTGCGTTGGCTTGCAGCCAGAGTCTGATATGACTCTTGAGCATAAGCTTATTTAAGCCGTATCGTATCCCTGTGCCGTAAAGGCCGTTATCCAGCCGCTTAACCAACCACCAAGTTGCATATTATCCCGCTTTTTTTTAAATGATGATAAGATAAATTGCTCTAGGAAGAGAGGGATATGGTCTTTTATTTAATTGGGGAAGAGGGTGTGGGCCGTGGTCCATGGTCAGATTGAATTAGTCTTCTTCATTTTATTTTTTTTTTCTTTATGCTGCTCAGCAGCTTTTTAATAACTTCTTCCTGTTTATCGTGGTTCCTTCGAGGTCATGTATAAACATCCACGCTCCTTTAGCTAGTAACTAAGCTTAGTATACTTGGTATGCCCAACTGCTGCAAGGACAGACTTGTTTAGCAATGCGCCAGCTTTTCCTACGATAAGAGAAACTGGCTTCAAGATGTTTATCCTATTTGTTTCGTAGTCCACACCGTGGTGAAGGAAAATTGCCTTGAAGAGAATACTAAGAGGCCGAGGAAAGATGAGGGTGTTGCCTGGGAGTAATACTTACGGGTATAGATGATTTATTTTTCTTGCTGATTCCCTGTGAGGTGGTTGACAATTTCTGAAGTAGTATTAATTATTGACAGTTTAGAATTGTGGAGGCAGCACTTTTAAGATGCTCGACACGAGATTCAACGGAAATTTAGTCAAGCATGAAAAAGCTAGGAGTAACAAAGGGAGTCACAGATAGGGGAAATTACAGAACTTGAAGATGAAGTTGAACCAAAAAAAAAAAATAAATAAATAAATAAATAAAATAAATAAAATAAAATATCAGGAGCCTCCGCAGCCTTTCCCAAGAGATGATATTTGAAGTTCACGGAATAACTAAGCTCTCAATTCTACTGTATTGTTCACCATCTATATAGCTTTTCTAACCTCCAGTTATTAGTTTTACATCAATATAGCTCTTTTATTTGTCCTCAAATACTTTCCCTCTATTGTACAATGTGTATTTTACATGATTCAATCACCACATCATGATGGCAGCAACGCCACCCATCACCGCTGCGAACTGATCCAACCTCGCATTATTGATCAAAGCAGCACCTCCTGTGAAAGCGCCTGTGGGATTTGAGGTCATTGTAGCAGGTAAGTCCATCGCAGTCACGCTCGTCGCAGGTACACTCGTCGCAGGTGCGCCCATCGCAGGTCCGCCCATCGCAGTTGCGCCCATCGTAGTTTTGCTCATCGCAGGCCCACTGCAATGCCAGTGATCGCCGTGTGGTGTGCAACCGACGGATCCAGGTGGGCTCGGGCCTGGGTCTTTATGACTTGAAGTCTTGTGACCATTATGATGGTGCATGGTTGTGGTTGTGTTTTTGGTGGAATGGTGATGCGTAGTGGCAGGGCCACTGCAATGCCTGGTGTTCAATGTCTAGTTAACATGTCTGCAATAAATGATATACCCGGTATCTTTCCTTGGGAAAAGGGGAAATTACCAGTGGTCGACATGCAGCGTGCAGCCTACGGACTCTGTCGGACTAGGAGCCGGGGTGCGAGAAGTCCTCGTTGAGTGTTTGCTTGTGGTGCGGGGGCTGTCGCAGTGCCTTAAAGTAGCAGATTATTATAGATTGAGAAGGTTAGTCATATACATTATTAAATGGAATATGAAAACACATGCTAGCTTTGCTTTATTTGAGATAAGGAACCCAGATATCTCAACATGTCCTGCGAAGGGGCTGGAAGATTGGAACGTAATAAAGGCGAATATGAGCATACCAGTGATCACCATGTGGCGTACAGCCGATTGACTCCGGAGGCGAAGGTCCTGGATCTTCATGTCCGCGAGCTAAGCACAGAGAGGAAGAGAGGAGGGACAGGGAGAACAGGGCGAACGTGGCGTACTTCATATTCCAGTCTCTTCCTTCGTAGTCGAGAGAAATTGTATATAAGTGAATTGATGTCAAGATGCTATATGCCCTTCTGGAGAGGAAAAAAAATCCACGCTAATGATAAAATTGAGGTGAAAGGTGAAATTCTGGATGCTGTCCGCCCTTTTTATAATCAAGCAAGTTGCTCTGCGCTACCATTGATTGTCATGTAGCAGGTTATTTTCGCTGTTTCTCGAATTCTCGAATCCATGAGGGATAAACCAGTGAATAACGACCTAGCCATGTTCAGCAGCAGGATTGAAAACAGAGTCAACGTGTCGGGTTGGTTTCGATACCTTGGTATCCAAAATGCAGCGTATGGACTTCATCCCGCGCCCAAGGAACTCCTACATCCTTGGAACGGATTCCCTACAGCCCAAGAAGGGATGCAACTAGGGTAGCTCAGAGATAGGTTCAGACAGTAGTCGGAAACATCGGATGAACATTCTGAACCTCACGATGCTTGTGCTCTGAGTAGATAGATCGTATTCACACCGATGAAGGACGAAGCAAGTCGGAAGATAAAACAGCAGGACACCAACGCACTGCCAGCAGCAAAATCGTTTAACAGATTACATCATTGCTGTAAACGGTGGATTTTGCGGCTTGAATGGCAATTTGGGCAGTCCACCAAGGTCGATGTATTCGAACGCTTAGCCACCGTTAACACATCACACATCAACATCGTAGTTGTAACCTGGGATTTTGCAGCTTGAATGGCAATTTGGGCAGTCCACCAAGGTCGATATATTCCAACGCTTGGTCCACCGTTAACACGTTACACCATTGCTGTAAACTGTGGATTTTGCAGTTTGAATGGCAATTTGGGGTGTCCACAAGGTCAATAATATATTCCCAACGCTGGGCCACCAACAAGGTCCGCAGAAGTGGGACAAGTACCTCTACCTAGACATGTAGGTGAGCAGGCACAGCGAGTATCTAAACACACCCGAATACTCAAGAACGGAGGGAAATCTCCAGAAAGTCGTAGAGGAGGGGAAATAGGCGGACGTGAAGGTGTAGCTTCTTTGTTGCTGAGTACCTTGAGGCATCGCCCTCGTTAAACTCAATATCCTGTGAGTTTGAATGGAGGGGTATATTAAGTTGAGCATCTGAGAAAGGACGCAACAGATGAATATGAAAGAATATATATGCACTTTTGATGGGAGAGACTTTGATGCTGGTTCTGTGGCTGCTGGCAAAACTGCAATAATTATGATCGGTTGGGGGAGGTTGATGGTTAATCGGAAAATTGTCACGATTCGGCGATTTCAGCTCATCATCCCACACCAAGATCCGCGATCTAAGCGCCGGCTTTAGCAAATGAGGTCACAACCACCGCCCGTTTTGTGTCTGCATGTCTGGAGGGACTATTACAACATAAAAGAAGGATCTCGAAATATTCAATACATTGATGTCATATCAACATATTAACCGAACATTCCATTCCATATAGTTACATAGGATTGCTTTTCCAGACCATGATGCCGAAAGCAAAATACCAAAAGACCATAGATGCATAGTGAACGACCCTTAGTCCAATTGTCAACAAACCCCACAAGTGGAAGCTAGGAGACATTGCTGCATGATTGTTTATATCGAAACTGCCGCTTACAGCCTCGCAGACCCGATTACTGCTGTCCTGTTTTCTATTTTTACCGTCGACATATAATCCTCTCCCACCGAAATGCAGAAGAGAAAGGGGTGTCACGGCGCGATAGCAAAAAGCTTTACTGCCTCATATCGACAACACACCGAATGCAATCTCCCTGCTTCATTTCCTCGAAGGCCTTGTTTATGCCATCGAGTTTTTCACGATGAGTGATAAATTCGTCCACCTTCAGCTTGCCAGTCATGTATTCGTCGACCAACGCGGGAAGCTGACTGCGACCTTTTATGCCTCCAAACGCACAACCTTTCCATACACGTCCGGTAACAAGTTGGAATGCTTCGAAAATGGAAGATCGCCTTATTAGTTTTGTCCCGTGCCTCTGTGCTTGACCTGGAAAGGAACTGAATACTCACGTCTGGTAGAGATTTCTTGACCTGCTGCAGCAACGCCGATTATGATACTTTGACCCCATCCCTTGTGGCAAGCTTCAAGGGCAGCACGCATCACACCAACATTGCCCGTACAGTCAAAGGTATAATCACATCCACCATCAGTCATCTCAATGAGCTCCTCCTGGATACTCTTCCCACCAAGCTTCGTTGGGTTGACAAAGTCCGTGGCCCCGAACTTCCTGGCCCAAGATTCCTTCTTGTCATTAACATCGACGACGACGATCTTGCCCGCCTTGTTCTTCACTGCACCCTGAATTACGGACAAGCCAACGCATCCAGCACCAAACACAGCCACGCTTGAGCCTTCCTCTACTTTAGCGGTAACAACTACCGCGCCGTAGCCAGTGGTGATACCGCACCCGAGTAGACACGTCCGGTCCATTGGAGCTTTGTCAGCGATAGCTACAACGGAGATATCTGCAACAACCGTGTATTGAGAGAAAGTGGAAGTGCCCATGAAGTGTAGCAGTTGTTTGCCGCGGCAGGTGAATCGGGAAGTGCCATCAGGCATAACGCCTTTTCCTTGAGTGGCTCTGATCTTTCCACACAAATTCGTCTTGCCGGACTTGCAGAATTTGCATTCTTTACATTCAGGTGTGCTATTGATATGCAGTTAGAAGCTGTACTCTAGCCATCACTGGCGCGGGGCGAGTCGTCGGCCCTACGAAACGTGGTTTAGAAACGAAGGGAGGCATATCATACTAGAGCGCAACTACGTGGTCACCAGGTTTTACAGAGGTCACGCCCTCGCCGACAGACTCGACAATACCCGCACCCTCATGGCCCAGGATGATGGGGAATGCTCCCTCAGGATCCTTTCCGGAAAGAGTATATGCATCTATATATAAATTTGTACCGGTGAGCTAGGATTTTATAATGACGTGGTTTGGCTGATAATCATCCACAAAGGAGGGATCACAGAGAGACACCATCCTACCTGTATGACAAACACCAGTATAATATATTTCGATGCGGACCTCGTGGGCCTTTGGGGGAGCAACCTGGATATCCTCGATGACAAGGTCCTTGCTGGCCTCCCACGCGACCGCAGCCTATTTTCGCTGCTCAGTATATGTCTGGCATCATTCCTAAATACAGAAAATCCCGTAATTCGACCTGGGAACTTCATCACAAATTCGGTTGATTCGAGGAAAAGGGATTTCGTGGATTCGGGTTCTTCTTACTTTACATGTGATAGTCTATTGCTTTCCCGCTCATGGAGCAAAAAAGTTAACATGCGATATCTTGGTGTGATTGGCAGTGCCAAAACAATTAAGCAAGCAGAGAAAAGACAAAATAAGAACTATTACTGACCTTTCCAACCGTGCTAGGCATTGTGAATAGGTATCTGTCTGGTGGGAGAGAAGGTGATGTCGAAATAGGCTATGCTCTGGTAATATCTCGGCAAGAGAGCAATTCTAGAAAGATGGAGAGGGAGAGAGAGCAAGGCGCGAGGGAATGTGGACGGAGATATTAAAATATGATGGTAGAAGTAAAATTAGTGGACAGATAGTTGGAATGAGGAGATGCAGATAAACAAAAAAAAAAAAGAAAAAAAGAAAAAAATTGTGCTAAGGAGAATCAAAGAATATCTATCCTTGTTGTTGGATGATGGGGTGACATCCGAGAGATGAGGAGGACGTGGGCTTAGAGGTGGATCGTTGCCGTAACTAACTAATGAGGGGTTGTATCGCCCGGTATTGAGAGATGCTCTTCTCTTTAATTTCGCGGGAGAAAATGTATAGATACACACAATTACATAGCAACCACCTGTCACGTAGAGCCAGCCAGATAAAATTCTGTAATAATGATGCTAATAGGGTAAATATATGGGGCTTGGACGGGGTAGTCGGGGAACAGTTTGTTTTTCCCCTCACGGCAAGTTTCAAATGTCTGTGAGATATACATCACGATGAGCCGAGAATCAATTTTATTCTAGAAATATAATCCACTATTGGACACTACTATTGGACACTGATAGCGCTCTATTCTATTGAAAGGGGAGAAGGGAAATCTCTTAAGGTCTCTCCATTGCTAAAAGAGTAGTTTGTCATTGATCTATTCAACTTCAATTTTGCTGTAATTGTCTCTCGTTTTCCCGTATCGCAACCACCGCTAAGTACATTACGATCCCAACCCACCAAGTCACTTTATATGGTGCATTAAAGGACTTGATATGGGAGGAAGTCCCATTGAACAGCTCCCAATAATAGTCCCTTCCAGGATCTACGAGCCATAAATCACAAGCATGGAGAAGATATAGATCATATATCAGTGGCAATCGAAAAAAAAAAAAAAAATAGTGCAAATGTGATAAATTTGATATGAAAGCAAAACCGCTGAGCAGTTTTAAGATTCAAGAGGATATCATTCCCTAATTCACCGTTCTTCAGTTCCGTAGGAGAATTTCGCTCCAATGTACTTCTCCTCTAACGTGTGCGGCGCTTTTGCCGTGCCCCTATTCTTGCCCAATTCTATAATCTGCTTAAGCACCCGCTTCAGGGCAATGATTCCATCCGTGCTTATTTCTGTGAAATGAAAATCGGTTAGTTGCTATATCGCATCATAATTCATGCAAAGAAGAAACAAGGAAACAAGAAAGAAAAGCATTAAAGAGTCTGGCATCACTCGCGATAATGGGTAACAATCCTCGGAGCAAAAACATCCACCCCTTCCTTCTTCGCAATCCGCTCGAATTCCTCCCCAGACACCCCAGCCATGTTCAAATCCAACCAAACCATATTCGTCTCTTGGGCTAGACCGGGCATAACAGACCCTCCCAACGCAATCCATTCCTTCTCCAGCTCCCTCGCCACCGCATTGGCCCGCAACATAGGCTCACCGGCAAGAAACACCTCATCAATAGCAATGCACGCAGGCGCCGTGAGGATACCGACCTGTCTCATCGCGCCGCCCAGCGCCTTGCGAAGATGGCGGGCACGCGCGATGATCTCTGGCGACTTAGACACCAGGATAGAGCCAGCAGGTGCGCCTAGAGATTTCGAGAAACACATGCTGACAGTGTCGACATGCGAACAGTATTCACGGAGCAGAGTTTTTGCAACCTCCGCTGCCTCTGCGGGTGGCAGGTTGGCGCTTGAGGGTGGGTAGCATGCATTCCATAACCGGGCGCCATCCATGTGTAGTTTTATGCCATTTCTCCGGGCATACTCTGATATTCGCTTGACTTCAGGTACGGGAGTGATGGTCCCACCATGTGTATTTTCCAATGCAATCACTCTAGTTGGTGCATAGTGCGGATCGCCGGAGTCGGGCACTATATTAGGGATGATATCTTCCAGAGACATATATAGCTGCTGTTTCGGTTGGCAATTGCCCTTAGGAGAACCGGGCATCACAGGTATCAAATGCGCCTGCGAAAAGATAGAAGACATGCCACACTCATGCTCGAAGATGTGACTATGCCGGCCACAAACGACGGAGTATGGTGGCTGTTGCAAGAGAGCGCGTAGAGCTAATTGATTGCCCATTGTCCCCGTAGAGACAAAAAGAGCATTCCCCATCCCTGTCAACTCCCCGACGTAAGCCTCTAGAGAGTTGGTGGGCCCGTCTTGGAAGAAGGTGTCGTCCCCAAAGCGCGGGGCTTGGGTGATAGTTGATGCGAGCATGCGGCTGCTTGGGAGTGTGACGGTGTCGCCTATTATTAGCATATTAGGATGTAGCTTAAATGCCCGATATATATACATGTAGACTCACTTCGGAAGTCATGAGTTGCAGCGCGAGCGCTCTGGTTTACTGTCTCAATTAATGTCTGTGAAGTCATGGTGCTGAGAGATCTAGCTGTCCCCAATGGTGGCAAGGTGGAGGGGAACTGCTTCGAAGAAATTGGGTTACCCAATGGAACTAAGAGCCGCTGCGGGCAGTAAATAAATGATCTGTGCATCTATATAACTGTTAAAAAAATAGCTACCTGAAATGTGTAGTGTTGAGTTGTCTGACGACTGACGAAAAGGGGGTACGTGCACTGCTAGAGCGACTAATTTTCTGTGCGGAGTGGAATATTTCTGGGGATTCCACTGATCACCATCAAAGCTAACAGTCCAATGTTGCTGTGCTGTTGCTGTGCTGTAGTCAGTCTGCTTGATCAAAAATGCTCCATATTGCGGGTATAGATGTAGGATCTTGTGGAGTGATTTTATCTATCCGCATTCACGCGGCTGAAAGCATTAGTTAGTTAAACTACTTATGTTACCAAGCCCGCTGCTTGTCAAATGAAATCCATTTCATCACACGACAACGAGATTTGCTAGCTTTTGCTCCTATACATGTTGTGCGAGCGATTGTACCTTATGGAATATACTTTCGTGAAGGCAGTCGTCACCGCGTAGACGGGATATGCCCAAAGGATAGAAAGCTGTATTTTACATTATACCCATATTGACGAGGGAGGATATATACGGAGTCACTGAAGAGAGGGGTAAATTAGATAACCAAAAGCGACAAGGATAAAAGGGAAAGGATATTTGTATCCAACGCCATAAACCGGACACTATTTCCTCGTGTCAGAGTGTTCATGTATGCGGAAATATTTACTGGGCCGTATAAAAAAAAGCATGAAATATCCCCAAAAACCGAAATCTACCGAATCAGCTGTTCTCGTATCCTATGTCCCGTCCATGTCCTTGCTTTCCCCGAAATACAAACTTGACGTAGATCGGTCCCATGCCATCCTCATGATGATGAATGGGGGTTCTTTCCAGGAGGCGAAAAAAGATCCATCGGTTAAGATGCCTGAAATGGTATATCATTGAAACAGACAAAGAGGTAAATCGTACAAACAACCATACAGTCCAGTTCCTCCAGCCAACCAGCCAGCCCAGCTAGCTGCCAATGAAAATTCTTGTTTCATGGAAATTGAAATCCACAATCATTGCAGAAAGGCCGTTGACAACAAAAGAGTTCCCTGACGAGCAATAAGGGAACCAAAAGGCGATGACAATCGTCCCATCAGAACCCCCTTCACAATGACTGCTTCAAACCCCAAGTCTAAATGGCCGTTTCTTTCAAATGATATTATTTCCCAGGTAGTTGGCCCGACTGCATCATCTGAGCGTTCTGCTCCTGGAAGCGCTGGTTGATGCGCTCGGAGCCCTTCATGAACTTGTCGAAGCAGCGGTTGACGCAGCCTTGTTCGCGGCTGATGAGGGATTTCGTTGTGAAATCATTGACGCAGTCTTCGAAGCAGCGCTGGACGATGTTCGAGTATACCTAATGAAAAGAGAAAGAGATGTCAGGAGGAGAGAAATGATGGGTTTGGAGGAGGAGTTCCCGCGGCTATGTGACAAGGCAAATAGGGGGTTTTGTGGGTGGATTGTACCGTCATGAACTCCTTCATCTGCTTCCTTTCCATCCGATTGGCCAGCTCACGCTGTTCGCTGGCATTTAGACTGAATATATATTAAGTGTTTCCGTGGGAACACTTTTATGTCAGTCCATCCGTTCCGTAATAGATAAGAGACATCATCTCAGACAAACGGGAGAGAAGATATCTGGCAGATTGTGGTATGGCTATGAATGAGACGTACGAGTCCATGACGTGAGTGGGAATAACTAAAGATCCTCCTCTATGCTCCTCAAGATAGAAAGGCCCCGGAGGAATGTAAACGGAAAGAAATAATTAGTGATATGTGTTGTGCCTCTGTTCTGCGGCAGACCTTTAACACGGAGTTATATATATATATATATATACAGGGATCCCAGTTTCTTGCGTCTCGAAGCTGGGATATTGTTTTTCCGGTGGGCAGTTAGCTTCAAAGTCACATGATATGACGACACTACTGCCCTTGTGTAACGTAACGTAGAAGGCGCCACAGCCTGCGGTGACGTCATATGGCTCAATGATGATAGTAGTTGGCGGGCTTGGATAACAACTAAAAGAAGAGCAATATTGTCTATAACTAGAGATATTGGGGGTGTGCAGTTGAAACATTGGGTTATAAGATGTAGCAGAGAAAATATTGAGTATGGTAAAACATTTCAACGTGGACCTCTCTCATTAAAACTAGTTATAATGCCCAACACTTCTATGCTCAATAGATAACTAGTTGGTGATTTTATCCTTCTGACTAATTAATTCTAATTCTAACTTTCTAAATCTAACCTTTAATTATAATTCTAATCTAATCTAACTCTAATCTACCTAACCCTGCTCTTGAGGGCGGTAGTTATCAGTATCATTATTATAAAGAAATAATATCAAATTTATAATAAGAAAGGAAAGGAAAATGAAACATCAAAGATTTTAGCTGTCAAGTTCAATATAAGTTTCATTCTACCAAGGTGGGCTGAAAAGTCAGTTCATTTAATTGTTCTGAAACTGATGCTTCGGAATCAATGACACACTCACATATGTCATCAAGATACAGTTGCAACTATTCTCAGATATAAAACAGCCACGCTGTCCCAGTCCTATATTTAATTTAATTAGTGGTTGTTGAGCGTAGATAATTTAGGTTTAAATCTGGTGATTTGGTGTTTACCATCAGTTGGGTGGTTCGCTCAGTGGGGAACCACATTGTGTATTACTGGCAAACTCGTTCCAGACCAGAGGGGAGAATAGCTAGCTAGTTACCACCTAGTCAGATCGAAATCGTTTGCCACTGTGGAGGAAGGTATGTGTCATCACCAAGGGCTGCCGTCGATGGTCTTGGAGAAAAAAGGTGCCTGGGTGCATAATAATAATATGTCATCGTTTATTCTTAACTACTATAACCCGTGGTATTTTATTGTGTTTCTGGTTCATGACATGAGAGATATATATGTAAGGGACAAACGGCTTAAATCTTCTGGGGAAACTAATTCCCCGGTCGGAAAGCAAGAGAAAAACATCCATGGATACACAAATTTCCTCGTGCAGGGTTGATGATAAACGTACATTCAGTATTACTTGCCCCGTAGACTCTTCAGCTGAAGATGAAGATGATGATGGACTTGGTCTGTTCGGCCGAAACGTCTTCCCTTTGGAGGGAGTTGATCATGATGAGGAGTGGTGCAGGACGTTGTTGTTACTCCAGGAGGACGGAGGAATAAAACCCTGCTACGGGGGGTCTGGTCTTCATATATGTATTTTTGTTGAAGTGTTGAATGAAATGGGGAACTGCCGTTCCAGGGATCTTACTGGGTCAGCCCAGGTCAGCTAAAAGGCGAATTAAGACAGGCAGTAATACAGGCAACAGAAACATGGAATATGGAGCCTACCCCTGCGAATAATTAATTAATCAATTCAATTAACCAATCAGCAGCCCATCAAGGAGGGACTGTTGTCTGTCACAATATTCTTATAATTATTATTTAACTCCATATTCCATTCTGAAGGCTGCGCAGGCGGAGTGTAGGTATAGCCACGTGACCTAACGGTCTTGGTCGACGCAAGGCTCCATTTTATTTCCAGGAGGAGAAGTGTATCTTATCTATCTAATCAACTACTACTGCCTATCAAGCACCTCGATCTCTGGCGACTCTATGGATGAGATAGTTAGCTCAGACATTGCAATATTGACGACAGTGGCTTGGTTTTCCTCCCAGGAGTCAGGGCTCAACTCCCAGGTATCTCTGCCCGTAGCCAATCTCTAGGTAACTAACTAACTTAACCTGCTCTGTCAGCAGACCCTGCGTAGTCAGCAGCTGCCTCTTGGAAAGCTTTCGCCCTTTACGTCCTCGTCTCCCATTCTCACCCATCTGCATTTCAACGACATCCCTCACTGCTCTACCTACCTCCCACTCATTATCGTCCTCATGGGCGGCATGGCCCTATCGATTCACTGATCCAGATTCTTTGCTCCCGGCCTGCACTATTCTTATCCCGTTCCTGGCCCCGAGTCCTTGCCCTGCGTGAATGTCAGTGGCTGGCTGGTGGCCAGCGCCTATGGTAACCGCCTAGTTAAAAAGTCCTGGACGTCAACATACGTTCCGCTTTAAATACACCCAGCCCAACCAACCCTCACGCCTACACCCCCCCCATAACAAACGCCCAGCCAGCCTATCCGCGACCGGACCTTTTGGACGAAACGTTTCTCTATCGTCGGTGGCCCTTCGCGCTCTCTTCCTCTTCGCATCCCAAGCTCAGCTCCTCAACTGCAGCGATCCCTTTCGGATTCTCAACCAGCCGTCACTCTTCGCCCCCATATGCGTTTGTTTTGTTTGCCGGCCCGCTTCGACCTATTGTAGAGTCGCTCCCTACCTTCTCGTTTCTTGCCTTTGTTCTCGTTCCTCGTCCTCGTCACCTGGTTTCCTATCTTGATCTTCACAATCCGCTTGACTTCTCCAGTGTCCGTTGTTCTTTTGGGACCCTATATATCTATCACCCTTTTGATATAGACGTTCTCTCGAAGACATTTGGCGGCCCTGGGACATCTTACGACTACAATACCGCGACGTGCTCATCCTGAATCCTATCTGTATTGTCGTCAAGGCAAACCGTTGTGTGTGGTTATCATCAACCCATAATGGTTGCCGGCAATTCTCAACAAGTGCCCAGGGAATCTCCTCGTGACGTTACACGATCAACTGTACATCATCAACAGGGAGGACCCCAGGGTGCGGTGTCCCCATTATCGAAACGGGATTTGACTTCATGGTGGAAGCAGTTTGTACGAAACACTAAGAAGGATGAGGTAGCCCCAGGTAAAAATTAATTACTCTCCTTCTAGTCCCATCCTCGTTTTCCCCAAAGATACCTATGAGCCATCCCTTGCTTGCCACAGCATACACCAATAGATGCTGCGAGGCCGAAATCATATGCGTACCTGACTTAAACGCCCTTGATATTCCGATTAATGCATCTAGTGACTAACAGTTGGATTTAACACGTATAGCACCACAATACGGTATTTTCGGAGTACCACTCAATGTTAGCATAAAATATGCAAACGTTGCCATATCCCTCGCCGCGGAAGACAAATCTAGTTTCATATATGGATATGTTCCAATTGTCGTCGCAAAATGTGGTGTGTTTCTCAAGGAGAAAGGTTTGTCTTACCCAGTTCTCGTGTTTTTTGTATGTTTTGATCTAATGGATTTGCTCTGTAGCGACGGATGTTGAAGGGATTTTCCGACTAAGTGGATCCGCTAAACGAATAAAGGATCTGCAAGAAGCCTTTGACTCCCCGGATCGTTTTGGTAAGGGACTTGACTGGACAGGATATACCGTGCATGATGCTGCGAACATACTCCGTCGATACCTGAACCAACTTCCCGAACCAATTGTACCCTTAGACTTCTATGAGTCTTTCCGAGATCCCCTTCGCCGTTACCAAGCACAGGCTGTAGGGGACAGAGATGCTGCGTCTGAAGAGGAAGAAGGTTTTGATCATGCGAAGGCTGTAGCCACGTACCAAGACCTAATTAAAAAGCTTCCTCCTCTTAATAGGCAACTTTTGCTTTACATTCTCGACCTTTTGACGGTTTTTGCATCAAAATCTGAGGTCAACCGTATGACAGCAGCCAACTTGGCGGCTATTTTTCAACCTGGTTTATTGTCTCATCCTGCACATGACATGTCGCCAAAGGAGTATAAATTGAGCCAGGATGTTCTGATATTCCTCATTGAAAATCAGGATAATTTCTTGTTCGGTATGACGGGCACTGCTGCCGATGCACAAACAGTAAAGGCTATGCAGGCTGCAAATGCCCCCAGCACTTCTCGATCCAATATCAGACGGTCCGCCTCGAATGCAAGTGGGGGAGCAGATAGTCTGCGAAAATACGATGTTCTCCGACGAAATATGTCCGTTTCTTCAAAACAGTCGAAGAACTCTCCTGGTAATGCCACAAGTCCTGTGACCCCGAAATCAATGGTTGGAGCAAGCCTAGGCGTACATCGCAGCAACACCGTGCCCTCGAAAAAAGTGGCGGGGCTCTCTCCTAACCACTTTACCCGCCCACGTGACGCATCAGCCCCTGGAACAGGCCATCACTCACCGTCTAATCATTCCGGTCGTCCATCCCAATCTCCCAGCCGAACTCCGCTTCAAGCCGCTAATGCACTTCATGAAACTGCCCCCGATACTTCGTTGCCATCGAACGCAAATCAAGGTTTGGGATTCGTGCCAAATGCGCAATCCCTTCAGGTGTCACTGGATGAACAGGTTCACCTTCAAGAGTATGGCTTGCAACCTTTGACTTCACCTGCAGTTGGGACATCAACGAAGGAAAGGAAGTTATCCGCGTTTTTTAGGTCCACAGCGCCAGACGGCGAGCGCAAGGACGGTAGACAGCCCAACAGGTTGAGGAAAAAACGTCCAATACCTGGAAGCACTAGCGAGAGTGCTAGGAGTTCCAGTCATTCATTGCACCTTGGACAGGAGCTCGCATTGGGAACACTAGTATCACAAGCTGTATCAAGTAAACGGGAGGGTCCGGAGGATCAGTCACAAGTTTCAACTCCGAGAGTCCTGAACCCGACTTCAATTCCTGGGGCCGAAACTACTTCACAGCTAAATTCTGAGGCGAAACCGTCCGTTTCCGTGTCCCCAGAGAACCCCCTGAAGCCTAACAGGTCGAGAACCCCATCAATGCACTCCCGATCATCTGTAACAGACCACTCTGACTTTGATAACCAAGACGACGTTGGTAGGGAAAGGAAAGCGGTTCAGAAAAGACGGAGTTGGAGATATCCTCGTGGCACCAAGCGACATGAACGGTCAGAGCTGAGCATGTCTCCCCCTCCTATCGGATCAAATGCACATGCGGGTTTCAGCAGTAGCTCTGTCGGGAGCTCAAATTGGTCGCCCCAGCAGAACTTACCCAATGAAACTCGCCAGATTAGTACCGAAACCTCAGCAGCTGGAACTGTAGATACCATCGCCAACCAGTCCTTCATGACGCTGCCGACACAAGTCTCTGATATGAGCAACGTCATGCCAACATCAAATCCCAACAATAGCATCAAAGATCTGAGTGAGTCTGAAAGAAAGGGCTTTTTCGGTAAATTTAAAGCCAAAGTTGCAGGTGTGAAGGAAGTAGTGAAGGATCGGGAGGCGGCAAAGGAACGGACGAAAAGCCCTCCGCACTCCGATGGCGAGGATGCGGCTTCGAGAAGTAGTCTGTCAATTTTGCCCAGCAAAGAAGCCGGGGGACGGTCAATGGATGCAACCCGTGAAAACCGCCTTACAGTGAACACAGATTCACAGCAGCCAGCAACTTCAGCTGCTCCTCCTCCTTCCACCCCAGGTCCCCAAACACCTCCCGTTGGTTCCATAGTTTTTCCTGGCTCTTTCCCTGAACCGACAATACCAGAAGAGGCACCCAGAAACCCCGTTCCGGGTGATCCAACGGCCAGCGTTACTGTTCTGCCGAGGGTAGAAGAGGATATACCACAATCCCCGCTGTCCACGACAGAACCCGCCGAAGTCGCAGCACCTGTACAAACTGAACCATGCCAACAGTCTACACTGCCAGAAATAGCACCAACAAATCAACCACAGTCAGAGTCTACTTCCTCTTAATATCTATTTTCATTCATGCCAACAAATGTAATGCATAATTACGAAAGAATGCAGGAAAGATGCCATAAAAGAAGCGCAATACTGCTCTTGTTTATTACCACATGATCAAAGGTATATCAATTCTGGAAGAAATGTCCCCCATGCTCTATCTACAGTTTCTTTTGTCATGCATGCATGCATGCATGTATTTATGTGTGTATGTTTGTTTTGTGTTTTCATACGTTTTATTATGTGTTAATGCCCTAGCAAATGATGAATCTTTCTCATACTTTAATACTTTTGTCCCCTATGTTTTTCTTATCACAATTTTAATCATTTCATTTCCTCCCTATCCTCTTTAACACATCAATATTTTAATCTGGTTAAACTGCTAGATTGGAAATTGAAATATTACGCTTTCTCATTGTCTCAATTGTCTCTCTTTGATATGCTCTTTTTGTAACTTCGTCTACTTTCTTCCCCGCTGTCCACTTCCTGGCCAAATTTAGCATAGTTACTTCCTCCTTCTCAGTCTTCTACTCCGTGTGGTGTCCTATATTGCTTTTAACTTGGTTTGGTCCGACATGACCTTGTTGGGTTTAGCTAGGATTAGAATCTGGATTTGAATCTTGTTTTTATGATTCTTTTCTCTCCTTTATAAAATTTACTTGGATCCGTGTTACCATACCTTATCTATTTTTTCTCTTTCAATTTTTTTCCCCGTTCAACATTATCCTTCTCCCTTTACAATGATATTCCTTCAACAATGCATACCACCTTCCTTTACTGATATTTTGCTGTTTGGCATTATGCGCTTGATCTAGCTTATTTGATATCCCTGTGAACATATTGAACCCTTGGGCACAGCTCCATTTATGAACGACCGTGCTGCCACGCTCTGCCCCCGGGAGCAGTAAGGTGGTGAAACTTGACATGACTTGGCATGGAGCTGCATCTTGCAGCTTTTGATGGACTTCTGCAGTGGAATCGCTGTTATTAGTAGCCAGTGAAAGTCTGTTTGTATTGATAGCTTGTTCTTTACTATCTTTTTCAGAAAAGCAAGTGTTTCATTACCTCTTTTAGCTCGGCTATGGCAAACTGTGATCGGTAGTGGGATGGTCCTTAAGAAAACTAAATAAAAATTGTAATGTTCGGTCTTAAGTCTTATTGGGGCAGGTAAGGCCTATTCTGCACAGGGCAAGGGAATGATGCGAAAGAGGTCAAATGTTTGGATAGTTATCCAAAGCCTCATTGATTGAATCCAAAAGACAACAAAGGATGACAAAAACCCTAACAGGTTTAATATAGCTTCTACATGCTTTGACCTCCCTACATCCCCCCCTTCCCCCCGGAAATTCTCCTCCCCTCTTCTTAGAGATAGTATATCCCAGAAAAATCGCATCCAAATCACGAAGGCAAAGAGATCACACAATGTGCCACTATGAGAAATAGACTATTGCAAGATCTGAAATAAGCCAGGCTGCTGAATAAACGAAAGAACCCCATTCCTAGAGTTTGGGTCCAATTTTCTTTTCCCCGTTGGTACAAAGGAAATAACAGATAAATAATAAACTGGTCGAAGCAACTGTAGTTGGGTCGATGGGCTGGAGAGCGAAAAGCTAGATTGGGATTGATGCCAGTCGAGAATAGATCTGCTGCTCCGACCCAAATTACATGCTACGGTGCAGGCTCCGTATCTCATCACGCCATCTTTCATTTCTCGTTTAATCTCGTCCCACAGAGAGAGAACACATTCTTGACTCGTGTTTTCAGGGAAAATGGACGATGTCAACTTAACATGCTATGTATATACTCAGTTATCCGAAGCCCGACAGTAAGAGACAGAGACTAAACCAAGGACGAGACAAAAAGAGACGGGAAATTTGGAAAAATTGCTGGAGTATAAAAGAGTATAAGAGAAAGATGAGAAGGAGAGAGAAGAAAGGAACGTAATTATACCTCTGTTCATGGTGATTTTCGTGGAGTTAAGAAAACGTGGCCGAGTTTCTGACGAAGCTTCCGCCGTTTGCGAGTGGAATAGGGGGAGCGGAGTTTGTAGATTTGGCGGCCCCCATGGATGGAGAGGAAGAGGATCCCAGACAGACCAACACATTCCGGCTGATGCTTCCGCAGTTTGCGAGGGTTACGGGCTGACAGTCATGGTTAGCATCGTAGTTTGTTCAAGAAGTGTGGATACACATATATATCTATAGCGATGTCGATATGGGATAGTGACGGGGGGATTGGGAAGGAGAGGGTTCAACACCCACGTTTAGCGTAACAAGTTCTCCTACGGAAATTCCTGCAACAGTCGCAATGGACTCGCAAGTATCGTTGCTGCGCAGTCATGATATACGGTCAGATAAACTAGTCCTCTCCCCAGGAAGATTTTGAGAAAGGAAAAGCACACTCCCGAATGGGCTAGGATCTGGTGGCACGTTTTTGAAATATATCTTGAACGACAGGGCTTCGATGGAGATCAGAAAAGGGAAGGGAAATACTCACGGCCCTACAAGCCACTGCCTGGCACAGATAGCCATGAACTCAGTTGCTTGTCTTAGAACAGTCTCCGGTACCGCACTCTGTCCCTGGACTGCTATCTCGTTCTCGGGAACAGAACCGGTTGCATTTGCAAATAGCTTCTCCCCCCACCCAGAGCAGCTCCCTCACGCAGTAATTCTGGCCAGGCTTGATGCTGGCACAGATATCGCCGAGGCGGGCCTGGAAATTTTGCGAATAAAAGGCTTTGTTAGCAATACTATCTATATATATGTATGTATATATATTTGTGTTGATAGAAGCTGGCTAAGGCCCTCTCGGTCTTGAGATGAGAAAAGACAAGAAGGGGGAAGCGGATATTCGTGATGGGATTCATATCCTATATTAATTGTCTGGAGCTCAGAGACTGTTAGGCCGTTTCTACTTGCTATAGTATCGCATGTGTCTCCCTTCACCGCCGTGTGCGTTTCAAGACATGTGGAATTGGGGTTTTGGCTGAAGGAGAGCGTTCCAGTGGGTAATCCGTTGACGCATAGGACCGCAAGGATACACAAAGCAGCTTGTAGATTCATGGTGCGCAGTAAGGGAGTTGTGGAGAACAGGTCTGAGGCAATAGAGCCAGTCTTGATACTTGTAATTTGATGTTGATAAGGATTCTATACCAAGTGGTGGTGCGGTGAGATACGGAGAAGTTTCCCTCCAGCGGCAGGCGACCGACTTTATACCAGACGACCAGAGCTTCAAAAAGAGGTGCGTTGGCTCATTCATGCTCTGCGAATACGCCGGGAATGCCCCCTGGAAGACAGCAGCATGTTACAGCGCTGACTTGATATCATTAAAAGATGAGTGTGTGTATTGTAGGTAGGCACAAACATTAGTACGTACATGTAAATTAATTATATGACGTGCCTAAACATAATCATTAGAAGAAATATGAGGCCCATTCTCCGGACCCGTCCGCGGGTGTGCCACCATGCTATGCACAGTTGTTGACATGCATGGCGAGATTAGAAATTGGCAATTAATGCATATCCATTGTGTAGTATTTGCCTTTTGTGATCAATGGAGACAGTAATTATTCAAAAACAGCTAAAGTTGAAGTAATAGAAAACTTCCGCAGTAATGGTAGAAAAGTATGCACTGCAGTAAAATCTTAACGCCGTGAGAAATACCTGGCTGCGAGATAATACAGTCAATGGTAATTTGTTTCTCTGCCGTCTTAGACGACTGACAAGCGCTTATCGGAAAAAGAAAAAAACCACATAATCAATCAATTTCGCAATCAGAAAAGTGGACTTTTGATAACTTGAATATAGTCATCGCTCGAAGGATTATCTTTGATGCACATGTTGACCAGCCCCAAGCCAGTTTCCAATTTCACAAGGCGAGTCGGACGAATGGAGCACGGGCCTTTATAAGGGTTTGTTGTCATAGTGTTCAAGTTCGAAGAAACCAGCACACCACGCCAAAGGCTCCCGAGGTTCGTAAAAACTCAGCAAAACATCCGAATGTTGAGCCTTCGGTTCCGTGTATTGGTGTAGTAAGATAGCGAATTGGCGTCACTAGGAGTACAACTGTCTGAGTTTGATTGGCTTGACGAGTTTGGAGGAATTAATTGACAGGTTCCAAGGAAGTCCGCAAACAGAGAAGAGTACGGGCAGGTTTCCGTTATCCTGAATTGGGGTTGCACTTCAGATAAAGAATAACAAGAGTAACAACCAATCTAAGTTCGTGTCTATGGTCCAGGTTCACCTATTTCCGTTACCTTGTCAGTAGGCCCATTTGAATCACGATACACAGATAACTCCGCCCTCCAGAATTGAGTATCTTGTGGCGCCCATAATACCACCAAGACAATTTCGGATCCAAAAGTCTGTGAAGCTGCAACATCTGGTTTTCAAGTGGTCACCGATGAGAAAGAGCTTGTCGCCTCACTTGAGACCTTTGAGAAATCCTCTGACTTTGGATAATTGAACATGGATCAGGTAGTACGAGTCCACCTTTAAAAGCAATTAAGAGAATTGATGGTTTGGGTGACATCCGCGGGGAGACTGCGGAAGCCTTCGCAACAAAGGTCCGATGACCTAGAGCAGCAGTGAGGGGCGTTGTTCCCGTCGCAAACCTCAGGAAGAACGCAGCACAGTATATCCACGAGGTGGCATGCAACGGAAAACTATCCGCAAGCTACTGTAGCCACTTAGGAACTTCGTATCCAGCGACTGGTCCCATAGGGACGTAGTAAGAGCAATCTAAAAGGATGAAAAGACAGTGTGTATCTGCCCGTTGAGGGATTGAAAATTTTCGTCGGAGCTATAGCTGAGTAAATTTATTTCCGAAAAAAAATGAGAGGATGTATGCAATGGAGAGGTTTTCAATGCGCAAATAGCAAATACTGATAAAACAATTGAACTTGATAGTCATCAGCCAAGGTTCCATTTAGGCTTTAATCCCGGATGAGCGTTGAGAAGCTGATCAAAATAATCCCCTCCTCTAATAGGACTCCAACTGAGAAATATACTCTGGGAGTGACGATCGTTACACCAAAGTCCTCATTGGGATCTGCCCTTGTCTGGTGCGCAAACAGTGAATAGTGATTTTTCTCTGTAAAAACTCACTCACGAGAATCCGTTGTCAGGGTTAATTAAAATATCAGCACGAAATGGATGGGATGGAAGATTTGGAGAGAAGACGATGTTGAGGGTTTGTTTACGTCGATGTCCGGATTAACAATTTTCCTTCTGCGGCACCACACGCCCCTAGCGCCGCCGCCTGAAGGCCCACATCAGACATTTCCACATTCCTGAAAGCATTAGAGCATCAGAGAATCATTGATGAAACTGATGGAATCGTTCGAGATATACCTTTTCATCATTAGCAATGGTGGGCAAACTGCTGGGGGGTTCGCTGTTCTACATAGCTCGCAACGAGGAACACCCTTGTGTCACAAATAGTTACCCCGCTGGCGTCTTCCCTGGTAACTTACCAGCTGGTTTTGCCCTTTCGAGTCGGAGAGCTAATCCTTCACTTCTTGCACAGAAGCAAACACCGTTTGAACCCAGTTTTAAAGTCGGGAACGGAGATATTTTACCAAGAGCCAGATGTTTTGGGATAGTTGCATTTAATAGACGGCAAGATGGGCAAGTTTCCTGCTATCTTTCATAGTAGTGGAAGTTTGATGGCACTGCGAACAACCATCCAACAACCATTTTGCTTCTCTCGTGAAGAGAGAAAAACGAGGTGAAACCACAACGGAACAAAATCAAGAATCAGCCTCCACAAACTTGGTTGAACGTACCGGGCGGAGGCGTGTTGTGAGATTTAACATTTGTTAGTGCATCATCGATGAAAACTGCGCGAGGTTCATCATTCTGATGATCTGGATGCGGATTTTCTCGCCCGATTTTGCCTTCAAAATTTACTGGAGATATTCAACTTCATGCAGAGTTGTCTCCCTTACCTTGATGCAAAATAAACTCATTCACATTGTTATATACCCGTATAGTTTGTTCTGAGCTTCCACCATAGAAAGAATTTGGGGCTGATTCCCCGCAGCTCGGAGAGACGGGAGACCGCATATTCTGCACATTTTATCGATACAAAATTCGGTATGTTGCATGTTTGAGGCATCAATAAACTGGAGAGAGATCCAAGGGCATTGCGCTCCTCCACACAAACCCCCCCCCCCCCCCCCCCCCCCCGGGGCCCCCCCTCCCTCCACTTTCTAAGAGGGTTTGCACCGGGCAATCGCTGACCCATGACCCGTATCTGACGAGGCGGTGGATAACGTCGAGGCAGAGGGCTATATTCTGATATGGTGGACTGTGGGGTTACTGGGAAGATTGGAGACACTGCGCCAGCATACTGCAGCTTGTTTTTATTCACCCAAGAGGCAACATTGTGGACGCCATTCACGGTCGAACCTGGCATCTTTAAGGTGGTCGCTGCCTACAAAAGGGTCATTTAGCCAAGAGGATGATGGATGATCAACAAAGTGAGTGGTTCCGTTTCCTGGAAGCCTTCTTGATGAGTCAATTTTTTTCAACACCACAAACCATAAATGCTGAAATTACGTGATATATTAGTGGTTGTTTGGAGACTTAAAATAAATAATTTAATTCTACAGGATCGGGCACGAGTTAGTACTAAATGGGGAGCAGAGTTGCCAAGCTTATTTATCACAACGCTCCCTGACTGGCTGCTCTGGTCCCTGCCCTTCCGCTGCAGCTTGGGAAAGTTCAAGGTTGGGTTCCAAGTTCGAAGCTCCCTCAACCGATCGCAGCATCACGTGATCTGCTCTCCAATCGCTCATTCGGCAAAAGTTGCTCGTTTCCGGCCCACGTACAAACCGTTGAAAGGTTCCATCCAGTATATGCCGAAACAGCTGCGAACTTGGTTGATCAGAAGATAGCGGTATCTTGTTGCTGGGTCTCATCGGAGTGTCCCATTCCTCCGATCTTTCCAGCACAGCCAGGAATGTTCTACGCCCAGGTTCCCCGATCTCCACTTGTTGCCGGTTCACGTGGCACCCAGCTCTCGCACCATATTTTCTGGGCGAATCTCTCCTCCCTTCTCTTTTGTAGTTTTATTTTCAAATATCTTTTCCCTTGGCTTTCACTGCGCCACCCACAGCGACGCGGCCACCGAATTAATACCCTCCCTCCATCTCCATCCCACCACCCTCGACTGGAGGACTGCGCTCTCGGTGTGTGGCGGACTTGGAACTTCCCTCTTTTCCATTTCAAGATAAATGGCACGTGTTGGGAATTCTGATGTCGTTGAGCTGGCGACTCACGATAGCGTCCCTATAGACACCCCCAAGGCCTCCAACGCCACTATGCCAGAGAGTGAGATTTTTGACAACGCGAAGTCGGCAACCGACAAGGAGCATCGTATGACCCTACTGCAGGGTCTCAGGCTCTACCCGAAAGCTGTTGCATGGAGTGTTCTCATCTCAACATGTATTGTCATGGAAGGCTATGATATTTGCTTGGTGAACAATTTCTACGCTTTCCCGCAGTGGAACCGAAAGTATGGTGTTCAGTTGGAGGATGGTACATATCAAGTTCCTGCTCGGGTACGTATTGTAGGCCTGTTCTTGGTTTGATCCCCCAAGTCGCAGAAATGCTAATAATTTTGTTTCCGTGTAGTGGCAAGCGGCTCTTAGTAACGGTGCAGTCGTTGGCGAAATTATAGGCTTATTCATTAACGGCTGGGCCTCAGAACGTTTCGGCTACCGGTACACAATTTTGACCTGCCTCTTCTTCCTTTCCGGGTTCGTCACCATCTTCTTCACTGCAGCTCATGTGGAGGCTCTGCTGGTAGCAGAGATGCTCTGTGGGATTCCTTGGGGCGTCTTCCAGACTCTATGCATCACCTACGCTTCCGAAGTCTGTCCTGTTGCTCTACGGAGTTATCTCACGACTTACGTCAATTTCTGCTGGGGTCTTGGACAACTGATTGGGATTGGTGTTCTCAAGGCCATGCTGCCTAGACCTGACGAATGGTCGTACCGTATCCCGTACGCATTGCAATGGATGTGGCCGGCCCCACTAGCCTTGGCAATACTCTTGGCGCCGGAGTCACCGTGGTGGTTGGTGAGAACGGGCAGGATCGACGAAGCGAAACGTGCACTCCTACGCTTGACCAGTTTGAACCGGGAGACGGACTTTGATGCGGACGAAACTATTGCCATGATTGTCCATACTACGGCTTTGGAAGAGAAAATCACCCGCGGTGCCACCTATCTCGACTGCTTTAAAGGCTTTGACTTACGCCGGACGGAAATCGTCTGTATGGTTTGGGCCATCCAGAATCTAAGTGGGAATTCCTTCTCGAACTATTCTACATATTTCCTCGAACAGGCAGGCGTATCGACTACACATGCATATTCTTTCGCTATGGGACAGTATGGAATCAATATGATAGGTGTTTTTGGCGCATGGTTCCTCATGACATTAGGCATTGGGCGAAGAACACTCTACCTGCTTGGCCTTAGTGGTCTCTCCTCCATGCTGCTGATCATGGGCTTCCTTGGCCTTGTTCCTGAGAGAAACCGCGATAAGGGCTCCCTTGCCACTGGTTCTATGATGCTTGTTTGGGCCCTGATCTACCAACTCTCGGTTGGAACGGTTTGCTACTCGCTCGTCAGCGAAATCTCCAGCCGTCGTCTACAAATAAAAACTGTTGTACTAGGACGAATTTTGTATAACGTAGCAGCCATCGTATGCAATGTACTCACTCCCTATATGTTAAATCCTAGTGCATGGAACTGGGGCAATTACACTGGATTTTTCTGGGGCGGTATATGCTTTTGTTGTATCATTTACACTTACTTCCGTATCCCGGAGCCGCAGGGCCGGTCCTTTGCGGAATTGGATGTGCTGTTCGAGCATCGGATTAGTGCGAGGAACTTCGCTCGCACGAAGGTAAATGTCTTTGAGGAGGAGGTGAAGGATGAAGTCCTTACTACCTATCAGCAGGTGTCTTTGGGTCACACCATCGTACAGCACAAGGATGAGGAGAAAAGCAGCACGTAGTCGCCACCGGGCATCATAAGTTGGTTCACGGGCTTGGACAACGCATAAATTGAGTGGAAATATTGGACAAGCTTAATCATATTTTTCAGGATGGATTTTATGTGCGGTCCCTATATTACCGGAGCGCATATAATACTAGGCATTTGTCAGCAGCCGATACCCCCCTGCGATTGTTCTTGGTTCCCAAAATCCCCCCCTCGTTGGTTCATGTCATCTTCTATGTGATTATAAACCTCTCTGGTCTAGTTACAATTTGCTGCTGATGCGAACATGGCGAGCTGAACACACAAAGCTTTAAAGCATTACTAGTAACCGCCTAGGGGTCAGGCTTCCTCTTTAGGACGCCGTCTTTTAGGAGCATAATGTAATTAGTCCATATCGTCTTTATAGTTTTCGCATAGCTAACTCCTGAATATGATCAACAATTTACTGCAACACAGGCCCTCGCCACTGCTCCCCCCCTCCCTGCGCGGGCAGATACATGGGAAGACAGTTGTTGAATGCGTCCACTTCATCCATTTTTACCTTTAATTGCGTAGGCCCTATGGAAACGCTTAACAATGGATTTGAACGTGGCCTACCAATATCAACAACACTCCCTGCAGGTGCAAAAATTGACCTGGAGATCAAAGGCCATTGTCTTGCGCAATTCACAGCTGATGCCTTAGTGCCCGACGCGGTCGAAGGCAGCAAAATGTATCCGGGGTGGATATTCATCCACAAGGACCTTGCTGACAGGTCTTGCGCATCAAAAGCACCACTGCCCGATACGATTATCCTTTCTCAACTGGCTAACCCGCAGCGAAAACGACGATTGGGGATAACGCTTGGGGTGATGATAAGCGTTTTGTGCTGTAGCCGGGCAATGTTAAATGGGTGCACGAACTTGTCCCTTGATGGTGTCTTTAAGGTGGGATGGATGAAGTATCTGGAGGAGCTGGTGAGCGTCGGGTCGCAGTGCGAAGGGTCCGAGATGACCGTGGCGAGAGATAAAACGAACCTATATTGTCAAGTGTAGCAGACAGGAAAAGTTAGGGGAGGGGATGTAAGTGCCAGCCCAGAAGACTCAAAAGCAGCAATATTACGAATATCCACGGATGCTTCAAGCACCATGCCGCTATATGTCGCATTTTGTAGGCTCTCGCGAACTGAGGTTACTTCAAATGAAAATGGCAGGATTGAAACGTCTCAGGAGCACAACATGCTGCACGGCTGAGAGGACAGCTAATTCATATACATTCAAACACTCTACCCGCGTTGTAATCTCAGCGTGCCAGGATGATTAATAATTGAATTCGAGCCAAGGACCCCGTTCCCCATCAGGAGATTTTATGATTCGGCGCGTGGGTTGTGGATGTGTTGTTCTGGCAGTTCGCTGATCATATACCTGACTCCCTGCGTATTTCTATTGCTGGTTGCTTCAACGAGGACTCAGATTGAGAGAATGAATGATATTGCCGAGACGCACCTCCACAGGCCTAACTACCTAACATTTTGATGTCAAGTTGTGCGCACAACTTGTCTGTTAAGAAATCAGAAACCGCCCTGAGAAGAATACGACGAAATAGTTGGCAATAATTGCATATTGGGCCGGTTGGAATTGAGCCTCAATGGGGTACCTGGGTATCTAAATACTTAGAGGTGACCAGATTCGCAGCAGGCCAATTCGTCGGTTCTCCCTAACCACCAGCTAACTCGCCCCTTTTGCTGGGCACCGAACACCAGCATCGAGATTGTGGATGTGGAAATGACATGATCCTGTGCCGGAACACGAAGGCAGCCACGAATGGCCAGGGGGAGTTTTATGTCTTCGTCTTGTGTTCCTGAATTTCTGTTCCTGAATCACGATTCCAGAAGACCGTCGATCAGTTCGAGGTTAAGAACTTCAGCATGGTTCATGCCAGCGGCTACATTGATAGCACCAGTCCTCGTTTCGCTGGTATCTTTGTACGCCACGATAAAAAGGCCCAATTTCGTCACTAGGCAGAGGCAAGGTTGATGCCGACAAGAACCACGCACTCTCCCTCCGCCTCCGTGCCCAGGGTTATCGACTAAAGTTTCGTCGACGGGTACACTGTCCGCGGGGCCACCAGGTTTACTAGCTTTTGGGGCAAATTGTCCAGGAATCCTTGGATAAGAAAGAGCTGGCATGTCTGCCGCGGATACTAAAAGTGGTGTCTTCAACCAGCTTGTTGGCAAAAAAGGGTATCGCCTGACCTATGTTGGCGGTTAGAACTCGAAGAGGACCCCGTGGATCGCTCGTCATGGTCTCACGAGAAAGAGATGTCGGGAGGAATTCAACAAGAATTTGAGAAACGGCTTTTGTTCAGGGGACTCATGGATATTAACGGTTACACGGCAAGACTTTCTTTGCTGCAATCTGGGAAAACTCTAACACTGCCTTCCAAGCCAGAAATGGATGAACCCTCCGGCAGCACCAAAGACCTTTGATGAATTGATAAAGAGAGGATATGTCCTTTCGGTTGTCAGAGGCTATGAGGAAGGAAGTTGCATCAAATACGCTGCAATTTGGAACAAGGCATAAATAGGATGTCTGTTCAAGCCAGGAGTTTCCACGAAAACATCTTGAGAGCTCTTCGATGTTTTCAGCCCATGGAGATGAAAATATGTGAGCTGGGCCTTGTTCTATGGGAAACGAAGTTAATTCTATGAACGCGGAGGTGTCATTGTATCTTATATCTTTTAATTCTTAAATACCTTTACCTCCGAAAATGTAGCTAAACCTTGCTGGCCCTTTTTCTTCCAAGATTGTTATGTGTTAGGTAAAGTACGTCCCCATCATATAAACCGTTTAAGGCATTCAACGATTCGTTTAGCATTTTGCTCACACAAGGTTGATAATACAAATTAATGATACTAATTCCACACAGGCGGACATAATTCAAGCTTTGTCAATGACAGTGGCTTAAGTGGCGGTCTATTGTGGGCCCTGATGCGTGGCTCCGCGCCTGCTCAGGTGCCGTCAAACCCTGGCAGTAGCAGATTCCACTCTGTAGGAAATGAGGATTGGAAGCGGATTATTTTATGATACCTTTTTATATGAGATAAAAAGAAAGGAATTTATACATGACATGAGACTAGGAGGTGTTGAAAAGTAAATTAATGTTAATGGAAACTTTAGATATAAAGGAGGTTAGTCGCATAGCAGTAGGTACTCAGGAATCACGCAAGCCGTTCAAATGCAGGAGTTCCCAAGTAAGCATGAAGTTATTAGGTGATTTTCTGGCAGTCGTTCAGGGACTGGTAAAGCCGCAACAGAACATGCTGCTTTGCACATTGTGAAGCAATACAGAAACTCAAAATCCGAAAAGATTTTCATCCTCCTTGTAACCCCAATCCTTCAAATTCGGCAACGCAGCCATCTTGATCAATCCTGGCGGTCCACAGAGAAGAGCCACGTTATCTCCCTGGGGTTCAAACCCATACTGTCGAATAACATCCCTGTTCACCAGGCCTTCAATTCGCCCCTCCATCAACTCCTGCTTCGGACTTGCAATAACATGGATAATTCTAAACTGCTGCGGATGCTGTTTCGTAAATTCGTCGAGCTCATCCATCAATAGGATATCGTCCTCTGTCTTGTTAGCGTCTATCACCCTGATGGCCGTTGAGTCCTTTGAACCACCAGGCACAGCATCCGAGCGGAGAATACGTGCTATTAGTTGGTAGCCAGGAGTGATGCCGGACCCGCCAAGGATGAGAGTGACGTTGTTGAATTTGCGGATTTTGCCGTCGATTACGAATTGTCCATTGCCTTCATACCTGATCATACCCGAAGGGCCTTTTATTTCGACCTCTTCGTTGTCACGTAGGCAGTCTAGCACATTGCTTATCGTGCCTCCCGGTTGCGTGGAACTAGGAAAATAAGTTTTCACCGCGAGGGTGAAGGTACCGTCCGCTTCACTTTCGAATACGGGTCGCACTGGCGTATAAGGTCGAATGATGAGTTTGTCAGCGAAGTGGAATCCCAGCTGGATATGTTCGCAAGTGCCCAGGCCAAGGCTTTTTGTGTCTGGCGGGAGAGCAAATGTATAAAGTCGAGTGTCTGCTGAAAGCTGCTTCTTTTTCCGGAAACGAACCTGAGTCCATCTGGTGATTGCAAATGAAACTTATTAGCCTCCTGTAGTTGATATGGCAGCGTCTAAAGGGGCCTATACTTGTGGCGCTGTATCCCGGATTCAGGCTTATCCGCACCACCTTTAGTCCTTGCCTTCACGTTTTCTTCGGCTTCCTTCTTTATGTATTCCCTCGCCTTCTCGGTGACAACGCCAAGTAGGCATTCTGAAGCTCATGTCAGCCAGTATGCAATTGCCATAAAATGATGATAACTTTTCGTTCCTTTCCAATATATGGCTTGCTCATGGTGTGCTGGTGTATGGAAGCACCGTACATACCGTTTAATTTTTGTTGGGCATAGTCATCGTGGATACTCTCGAACTCCTCCGTTGTTTCCAAATGGACCCATCCAGCATGTGCCAAAATAGCAGACGCACCACCAGGATGCCAGCTTAGGACATTCGTTGCATCGTAGACTTTATTGTTGATAACTATCCAGCAGTTTGATGCTGAGTCGTGTTTCTCCACTTCTTGACGGGTGAATTGCTTCGGTGGGGCGGTCGCTTCCTGTCGGATTTCCTCCCTCTGCTCTTCCATTGACGGCTTCATCCAACCCCCTTTACCCGATCCGGGTTCTGTGGGGTGCTGAAAGGTAATCAATAGGTCTCCAGATTTGGGATGTTGGGAAATATTGGTACGGACGGTGTACCAACAATTATTCATCATCCTAATTTCGTGCAGTACTTGATCAGCTACTCATCTTGGGATTTAATGCAAAGTATACTTACCCAAGTAGATTCCAGTTTAGGCGTTCAGGTTGGCAATTTTTAAATGCATCGAAGCATCGTACTGTGATCCCGGTTGCTCGCGCTAGATGGACGATGTCGACATCCACGTACCAGTGAACCCAAATCCAAAATTTCTTGCCATGGCGTATAGGTGCTTTGGGGAACTAATCCGGTAACAAGTTAATTATCAGCTCTGGGAGAGACTTATTCACTTTTATAGAAGAATAGATAAAGCAGAAAGTCGATACACTTACTCTACGCGTACAATAAAGCCAGTTTTCGCCACAGTCTAGGCTCACCTCAACCCGCTGAACCTCATGACCGCCTCCAGTATATGCGATTCCTTCAATTCTGTATTCCTTGCGCCTCTTATTATCACCAGTGAGTAAATTTAACGCCTCTCCATTGGCAGGTTTAACAATCACAGAATTCAAGGTCTGCTCGATACAAGCAGTACTAGGGAGTTCAAACATCGCTTTAGCAAACTCCGAGTCCATGTCAACGACAAAACCGGGCAGCACGCGGTTGTCAAAGACATGATAATAGGTATCGTTTTCTTTATCGGATGTCCAGATACGAGACAGCCACTTCACACATCGTCCACCAACATAACCAGGGATAACGATGCGGAGCGGATAACCATGATCTGGGGGTAGGACTTTATCGTTCATCTCGTATGCAAGGATAACGTCGTTATTCGGATCCATGGCGTATTCCAAGGGAATGCATGTTGCATATTTCCCGTCGCTGGGGTCATCTGCCCCTTCGAAGTTCACCCAGGTGCGGTGGGGTGGTGGCTCATCTGGTACTCCCGCTGCAAGCAGGACATCACGAAGCAGTGGTCCTTTCCAATACGCACACCCACAAGCCCCGGGACCCCAGTTGAAGCCCTTAGATCTCTTCACCATATTGACTTCCTTGCGTCTATTGCCATCACACGCAATTAGAACAGGAATATTGATAGTTTGAAAGCGGTCCTTTAGCTCGTCCATTGACAAAACCAACTTTCCACTTTCGACATCCAGCCGATGAGTCTGCCATCGTAGATGAGGAACGGGACCATGGTTGCGCACAAAATGGAGTTTATTTGGCGTAATGAGACCAGCATCGTACAGAGTACTCAGAGGCGGCTCACAGTTTAATGGGTGCTTTCCCGTCAACCGAATTAGGGCATCGTTTCGAGGAATCCAGTTGTCCGGAGAGAATTGATCAGCCTCATCGATGCGCATAGGTTTTGTGTTTTGATCACCAGCCAGCGGGGACTGGCCCATGCCATCGTCTTGTTTGAGAGATTTTATATATTCCTTCTCCGTTTGTAATGTCCGTAAGAGGGCAATCTCCTGTGCGGAATACGTTTGCTTCGAACGGTCAGCCGTCTTCGTGAGTGGTTTTCCCTCCGCGCCGGTCCCGTTTTCAGGTGGACTAGCATCCTCTCCGTTGATAGCATTTTCCCCACACTCTCGCCTCCTTTCATTCTCTTGCTTCAAATGCCCCTGTGCTTCTTCTACTTCCTCCTTCCTTTTTTTCTCTTCCTCCTCTTTCTGTCTCTTTTGCACATTCACAGGCCAATTTTGCTGAAACTTAAGAAAATCTTCCGTCGTATGCAACACATATCGCCAGCCCTCCGAGAAAACTTCAGGTCTTCTCAGATGGAAGTCCTATCGTTATCGTATCGTGCAAGCAAACCACATCAGCGGAACCCGGAGAGGAACAAATCAATCAAAATACACAACAAACAAACTCTCCTCAGCCAAGATCAAAAGACGGAGAATGTATACTTCCTGCTTTGTCATAATATCCCTCACGGTAAGCAGATCGCCACGTTCCATTTTTTTAAATAATTCCGCTTCATTCTCAATCGCATGCTCCTCAAATTCGAGCTCTTCCTTCAACCATTCATCGCCACGCTGCGTTAATCCTGGGAAATGGTTTTCTCTATTACGGAGCCCGATACGGGGCAGCCCGGCCGTTCTCCAATTCGGCTCCTCTTCAATTTCTTTCTTAGTGGAGCCGGGGTGGTACCTAGGGCAGGTGATATGGGCACCAGAAGCCATTACTTCTCGTTATCGCTGTGAGCCAGCTTGGATCGCATTGGGATTCCTAAAAACAATATTTCTTTCGTGATTGATGCCAAGCTCAATGGCATGTTTAACCGATCGGATGGACGAGTGAACTGTACAAATTCAACATTCTGCAATGTTTTGTTTCGTGCTTTAAAAAACAAAACCCATTTCATTTTCCGCAAAGGATTTAGACCTTATATATCTATTTCGTAAAAACCTAGAAAGAGCAGATTTCATCGCATATGACTTCACCGTTGGTCTAATCCCTGAAATGATGATAACAGCTCTGACAGGAGGTGCAGTTAAAAGAAGGTTTAGCTGCATGACATCATAGTGTAACATGAGGGGTGGATGACATAACCAAACCACACAAGAAACCAACAAACAACAAATGTACTCGTACAGTTGCATATCAGTGGGTTTGCGATTGTATAGGGTTATATGTCAGAGCCAGTAGGAATCGGCAAAAATGAGTGAATGACGTGGGTTGCTCACAAAGAATACGATATCTATCCTTGTCCATGATTTCATCTAGTGTAAACTCTCGTTACCTGGCATATCTAATGCCACATTTCAAAGCGCCATTTACAGGATGACCTTATGTGTCGCTCCCTTCTCCAACTCCTCTCCAAAGACATTAATATCCCACCGTGGCGAGTCTATATGAAAACTAGTGAGCAAGGGCGAATTGGAAACCTGCTAGAAACAACTTGACACTCACAATATGCACAGGGTGTATTGAATCGCCTCGGCTGTTTACCCAGATCATTGATTGCAGAAACGTCCTCGGTAGGTAGATTAATTTCTTTAAAGTTCTCGACGATTCTAGAGGGAGTGACCGACTTGGGAATGACACTGTGTCCACCAATCTGAGACCAGGCGAGCCTACATAATATCATATTAATATATAAGCAAGAAGAGTTAGCCCTCGGGATCATTGAACAGACGTACAAGACCTGAGCTGGTGTCACGGATAGTCGACCAGCGATAGCTTGGATCTCTGGATGAGAGATAAGAAGTGGTTCTCCGATCATGTTGTTTCCAAACGCCTGTTTCGGTGCGTTAGATTATAAAGGAGTTTAATGCTGGGTGAATGGGAGTCTAACTGAGTAAGCAGTGATGTGAATGCCCTTCTCCTTGCAATACTTGACCAAATCATTGCTTTGCAGCAGAGGGTGGCGCTCAACTTGATTCACTGCTGGGACGACCCCAGTTCCCTTGATAAGAGCTTCGATCTAGATCGAAGTATAAGCGTTAGGACTGAGATCCAAAGACAAAGTGCGTAAAACATTTAAGCTTTCAGCCACCATACATGTTCTATTGTGTGGTTGGATACTCCAACGCTTCTAACTTTGGTCTTGGGAAGTTGGGTCATAGCTATTAAAGCAAAAAGTCAGTAGGGGTCGTGTAAGCGGTCAAGTAACCCTGTTCGTGTCTGGGAGTCGTAGAGTCGTATAGATTATTCTGACTTACCTCTCCACGTGTCCATGAGGGAAGTGGAATCGTCGATTTTGACGTCATTCTTTGGGTAGGTGCTTGCTGCATCGAGAGGGAAGAGGTCTTTTTCGGACCGATACTCGAACGCCACTGGCCAGTGAATGAGGAAGAGCTATGGAAGGGAACATGTAAGAGCTCAGCCATGCAAAACGAGAGCATATCTGCGAAGGAACGTACATCCAGATAGTCAAGCCCAAGTTGGTTCAAGCTTATATCAAGGGACTTCTCAACATGTTCTGGCTTATGGTGGCTTTTTAAATATTGGGAGAGGTTAGCGGGATTCCAACGTGACTTGATGGCTGGGAATATCGTACTGATTCCACAGCTTAGAGGTCTGTATGCCAAACGCGGGTCAATAAGCGGCTATTCTGGGCGACGTGGGTTTCTTCCGAAAACATACTATAAATATATCCTCTCGCTTCAGTCCGGGAATTTCTTTCAAGGCTTTCTTCAGGCCTTCACCAACCTCGCGCTGATTTCCATAGCTAGCACACGAATCAGAATGCTGGTTTGGACAAGATTGTTTATGGATAAATAATTAGAACCCACATGTGGGCAAGGTCCTACAAAAGTTATCCATCGTTAGTTCAATGACACACACCCTCAATATCACTGAGGTTCCTTACAAGATGACGATAGCCAGCTTTGAGTGCCTCGAAGACACCTGCGCCGACCTCACCGGGAGCGGACTGCCATGTTCCGTAGCCGAGAAGACTTCAATTTATGAGAAAAAGATATTAGTTCGAAAGGCCCCCACCTTGGTATTATGTTTCAATGGATACTCACGGAATATGGTGGCCGGTGTTGAGACACGCACTTCTACCAAAAGACATGACGGTGAACGGAAATGTAGTGTAAATTGATATGATATTGATATACAGAAGCAATTGAGAAGATTATGTCTTGCAGGAATTCGCTTCCAGAGGTAAAATAGAGCGCCGGAAATGTGCTTGGAACTTATATGTAAGTTGTACTCACTGCCCCTCCAGGAGAACGCCCTTCTCTGGCTCGACTGATCTCACGTAGTGAACTGTATTGTGGAGTGATATCACGACCTTCCACTGTTTTTCACAGAGAATGCTAAATTACCTGTCACTAGCGGACGTAATATTTCTCGAATTCCTTTGGGAGGCATATTAGCAACTATATAACTCTTCAATATGGCAGTAAGCAATGGTTGTCTTTCCATACATTCATAGATATGAATAGGGGTGACGGGAGTGTCTCTGGATTTCATCTATTGTTAATGCGCTGGTCAAGTTATTAGCGTCGAGCAATCAGGTTGCAGTGCCAAATTTCCACTTTCTACACTTGAACGAGTAGACTCGATATTCTGCCCTAAATGAAAAATGAGAGTATCCTAGGTAGTGCCCAGTGTTCTGGCATGGACTGCTCTTCGTCATGAAAGATTTTCCAGTAATTCAATTATCCACATAGGTTGGGGAGAGCCGATTTTTAATACCACAGCCATTTTGACATATGAATTGAATGGCTTGCAGGCAATTCCATCAATTTAATTGATCTCACCTTCTCCATTTCCATTTGCCCGTAGGCTCCGGAAACCGGTGCGCTGTGGTGCCGCTTGATCGAAGTGCTAAATATATTTTGTATCCGGGTATCACCATGGAACGCAGAAAGCTTACCCGCCACGCGGAGCAAACTTTTCTGTTTTGGCAATCCAGCCCCAGTCCCCTTGTGCGTTTCTGATAATAGAATGTGCATAGTCACTGCGTCACAACTACAACCTTCGGCATGTTTTTGATAAGATGTCACTAGATTCCACTATCAGTTGGAGATCCTAGAGTAAGGGCTGCAAAACTTACCCTCGAGAGAAGTTGTATAAGTTAGTAATAATGGGCGTTGCAGGATTAGGACTTGATTGCCCAACAATAACAAGTTTAGGACTTGCGGGCAGGCTCGTCTGCCTCTGCTTGCCGCCTTGACGTAACCCCTGAAACCTTTAGCAAGGTCCAATCCATGTCACAAGCCCTTTGGAACCGACAGAATGGCCAGCTTGGTTGATTGCAGAGTTCGCACGGCTACGAGAACGACTATGGAGAGTAGATCACGTGATCGAAACGTGACCGAAGTGTCCGACTGTGCGTGCTTTCAAGCTTCTCGTGAGACGACCTCAACATCCTCGATCCCAACCAATATTGAGAGCCGCATCAGTGTACTATATAATGTCCAATGTCAAAGTAGAACTCGTCTATTGATCGAGATTGCCTAGTTAATCGCGACTCCGGAAATATATAGCTACCAATACAAGAGGGCGATTAACAACCATAATGGTTTTATATGCCGACAAAGAGGCAGCAGATGGCGAAAATATCGATTGGATTCTCAGTGAGGTATCCCGTCGAAACCAACAAGAAAAGATATCAGCGTCGTTGCAAAGTTCACATCTCTAGAAATGGAGTAACTAGCACTGCCTAGGTTGGGTGTGTCCAGACTTCCAACCAATCGTCCCCAAAGCTTAATTAGATCTCACACCTGACGGATCCATAACAGCAAACTGGACATTGATCTGCACAACTGAAGGTACTGGCATATCCGGACCCAGGTTATTAGGGAAAAATTCGCAAATATGCAAGAAGGCATATCAACCATACCAAGAGTCATCAATCAAGGACATCACCTTTTTTCGGATTTCGAAACAACAGGACCAGCACTTCCATCGCCATAAGTCTCACTGGTAGAAACATCTCTCTTCTCCTCCTCTTCTTCTTCTTCTTCATCATCTTCAGACGTAGCAAACCGAATTCTCTTCCCATACAGTAAGGGCGTGCGACCGACCGCACTCCCCAAAACGTAACCAACATACGCTCCCGTAATAATCGTGATAGGGTATGCTTGCCATGGCCGGTCCCTTCAAACAAGTCGAAAGTTATATTAGTAAAAAAAAATACCCACTTAATACTTCTCTGAGAAACCAGATAAATAGAAATAGATAAAAAGAGGCTCAATACCAATCCAGCGGGATCGGCACGGCACCAAACCACGCGCCCAATCCAACACCAACAGTTCCTCCCCAGACAGCATCCGTACCACGTGATAGACTCCATATCTCCCGCCAGACTGTGCCGTCCGTGCCGTGCATGTATACCAGACTCGTGCCTGCGAGGAGGGACATGTGCGCAGCGCAGAGGATAGTGTGGGGGATGTGGGTCGTGAAGGGCGCACCGAAGAGAATGAGAATGAGAGAAAGGAGCGGGGTGCCCAAGAGGAGTGGGAGGGCTAGGGAGAGGAGGGCCGGCTGAGTCTTATGTTAGCATGTTTCTTCTATCTCCCAGGCATTGGAACGTGTACGATATGAATATATATATATTTCATTGACAGCATGTCTTAACTGTAATATTCCAAAGAGAAATCTTGAAAAGAGAAAAATTAAAAATTAAAATAAAAACAACAACAACAACACGGTAAATGAAGGAAATGGAATGAACAATGAACATACGACAATCTTTCCCCTCTCTCCGTCCCCATGTATTCGTTTGCGCGCCCCAATCTTTCCCCCACTTGTACCCCTGCCGCTCCTCCCTTTCCCCAGGCCCCCCTTCTCCACGGCCACTACAGCCACTGGCAGCTGCAGGCAAGCATACTACCGCATAAATCCCCTGTAACAGCGCCAGCAATGGCAACAAGCTAAGCAGTGTGGACACGGGATCCTCAACGAGGGCGCGGAAGCGCCAGGCGAAGAGACACAGCAGGAGAAGCGGGTGGATGTGCGCGTATGTCCGGGAGGAAGGAGAGGCGAGTATGGAGGTTGGCGGATGTTGTTGGGCTTGTGGAGAGGAAAGTGATTGGTGCGGCGGTTGATTTGGTGTGGTTGTCGTCGAGGTGGGTTTCGAGGGAGAGGTGTGCAGGGCCATGCTTCAGGATTTCCCTGAGGTGGGAGTTTTGCCCGTATCTGGCAATGACAACTGTGGAGGATTCTCTCCGTTTACTATAGGAGAGGCATTGGTGTTACGTTGGTGCAGGGTTGGGATTTGTTGACATTAACTTTTCGAAGTTTCTTTTTGAGAAGAGATTGCGCTTGGTTGGAGGTTGGAGCTTTCGGTTGCAATGATCAAATTTTACGTATGGGATAGTATTGGGAATACGACAACCTGCAAAATAAAATACGATAATGAAAGATTCACCAAATTTCGACCCTATATGTATGGTAACTCTTGGAACTGTTGATGAAGAGGTGAAGGAAGGGTTATCCCAATGGTTAATTAGGTTGATTAGAAATGCTATTTATTTGTGTTTAAATAGTAGTACAGCAAACATCAGCTCAGCAAAAATGATCCCATGCAAGCAAACCAAAAAAAAAAAAACCGTTACAAGGACTTGAGACGATGTTGGGACCAAAATAAAATATATGCAAAAACATTAGTGAAAAAAAACAACAACAAGAATATCTCAGCTCAGAGGTGATGTATGAAACAAAAAGAGAATCACGTATCAAAGAAAAGTCAATTGACAATAAAGCGGGGTCCACGCTGGGAACCGACCAAAACAAGAAATAAATAGAAATAAAATCTGAGCATATGAAAGAATATAATATAAATACATAATTTGAGGTGAAAATAAAACTAAAGGTAGCAAAAATGCCAAAATGTGAGCAGGAAGAACATCGCTTGAGAAATGGATAATAATATGCAGAAGACAGGGAAGTATAAAGCAGGGCCGGAGTCCCGAACAAGGAGGCAAACAGCGGAAAAAAGGTAAGGGGTGGGGGGGAAACAGGCAGAAAGAAAGGGAAGAAGAGAAAGTAGCAGCTGAGCTGCAAGGACGTTTGAAATCCTAAAAAGGACTTCCGTACGCCACGAACAACCGAAAACCGAGTCGTTAAAATAAAGGCCGTGAGTATGTAAGACGGTGGAATGTAGAGAGGTATGTACAGAACAATTCGCTGGATGGGGGTGCCACGTCAACCCCTTCCCCGTTGAATGTCAAGTTGCTTGCGATGGGGTATCCGAGGCCGCAAAAAAGGACCATAAACCGAGATGCTTGGACGTTTGCATGAGAAAAATAAGTAAATATAATATAAATATAAATTATTATAAGGAAAGGGTAGGCGAAGTGCGATGAATGGATGGGCGGATGGACGGATGGATGGATGGATGGATGAATGAATGAATGAATGGCAGAGGTTTAATGTATATGCTAAACAACTGCGGTCGTTCCGGAAGTCGGTTGAAGAGGGGCATTGATAAGTTAGAGTTATATATCATATCATGCCCGCCAGATGATGATATCTCTCTAGCGGCCCGATGTTGACTCGTCGGTATGCATCGTCTATCTTCCTCTGATGGGCGTCCGTGAACACATCGCCACCGTCTGGTTCAGCACTCTGGCTCCCTCTTCTATCGCTACACCTCCGGTTTCGGGGAGAAATTCTTTCGGAGGAATCGGAGTAGGAGGGGAAGGAAGAAACTACCATGTGCCATCGGGGGTTGGGCGCTATTGAGAAAAGCGACGTCCCGTTGCAATTGGAAGATTTGTTCTTCGAGAAGTTTGCGGGCGGTCTGTTCCCGTCGCATAAGAGTGGTCAGTGCGCTGTATTGTTCGACAGATATTCCTTTGAAGTCAGAGACGGAAGTGGACAGGGTCTGACAGGAGACATGGTGACAGGAAGTTTGTGGCCGCAAGGTCACAGTACTACTAGGTCTGTCAGTGCTGGGTGAGGTTCGAGGAGGAGTGATGCTGGGACTTGATTGGAATGAGCTGATGAAGCGGGGTGCATCAGTGTCTTTCTGATAGGGGGAATGTCGTCGCATGCTCTTGTCAAACGGTTGCTTTACGGGGGAAACGTCATGGCCTTGAAGTTTTGCGATGGCAAATTCAAGGTCCATCAGCTTCACCTCCAACATATTTACTCTTTGAGCTAGGTTGGTGTCGGAACTATCCTGCATCGAGCCCATCAATGTGCTGAAATTGAACGGGTCGTCTATCGATTTGCCGTCATCTGCATCGTCTGCACCGTCTGCGGTTTCTAGGACGCTAGCAATACTGCTTCTGGTTTCAGATCGTGTCAGGACAGATGGGCTCCCATCTGATTTCAGAAAGCTCTCCCTCAAAAGTTTGATCTCGTCGCTACGCCGTCGCCATTGTATTGGAGACATGCGATGCGACCTCGCTGCCTCTCGCAACCCAGATACACTCCGCGACCGTCGTTTTTGGTGTTTGGATGTCTTTTGGGGGAACCCGACAGGATGTGACACGCATTGTGGTGGCGAATGGATACTGCGCGGCCTCGAGGTAGGCAAGGCGATATGGAGTGCTAATTCACGGGCTTCCTGAGTTGATAGGACTATGCTTGGCAGAGTTGCTCTCCGTCGAAGCTGTCGATGGTCTAGTCTTGGTGACCCATTGTTTGATCGTGGAAGACGAGGCATACCTAGATCTTCCAGAGGACTATCTGTAGGACTCTGGGGTAATGAACTTGTCCGAGCTGGTAAAGAGGGAGCTCTGTTTGAGCGTGAGCGCAAAGAGGCGGGACCAGCTTCAATTGGATGCTCTACCGGTTGAATAGTAGGGGTCCATTGTGATATTCTGACCGCATTGCGCTGTTCACTCGTCATGGGCACTGGGCCACTCCCCCGCTTTCGACCGAAAATCCTGCGCATTACTGTTCTCAGGGTACTGCCTCTGCGCCTATGGTTGACGAGATCCTTGGACATAATAGTGGAAACCGAAGTTTGAGGAGTGTGAGATATTACGCTATTTAAAGGGTTGCTCGAGGTCACGCGACGGGAACTGTCGGGCCGTGCCGTGGAGGCAGTCTGGCCATTCTTTGGAGGTCCTACAGCTACGGAAAGAGACTCTGAGACATCTGGAGGCGGGGCATCGAGAGGGTCCTGACTAGGATGCTGAGAGAGGGGAATTGGATCTGATATCTTGTGCGGCCGAGGTTTTGGGGTTGGCGAGTGATTCCGAACCCCATTATTGCTGTGCAGGAGCGGCTGAGCAAGAGGAGACATGATGCTCGCCATCACAAGCTAGGCTCATGAGGAGACGATAGTAGGGAGCTAAATTTGCGTTTCTCTCCCCGACCTCCTCCTGCTCCTCCTTCTCCTCTTCTTAAAGGGAGGTGGCTGAGTCCCCTTTATCAATAGTCTCTCTCCCTCGGGAACTGTGGCTGGCGCTGTGCGCGCAATCGTGAATTGCTGGAGAGGGGATGACAGATCAACAGCAGGCAGCTGATCTGATGATAACACCGATAAGGGGAAGGGGCCAGCCACAGACAGGCACAGTGGCAGATATCTAATACAGACTGATGAAATCGCTAATCGGACGATTGCACTAGATGTGAACGAGAGTCTTCGGCTATGAAAGGAACAATGTGATGAGCCGTGGGCCAATCAAGTCGACCAGGTGCAGCTAAAAAGGAGGAGTGGCAATGGATGGCTGACGATACGGTGGACTTGGGGCAACCATTAAATGAAGGATTGGGTGCGTGGGGGGGGGGGGGGTTGTTGTCAAGAGCAATATCAAATAACCAAACTGGTGTCGCAACGACATCTGTAAAATCAGGGGTCGTTTAAAGGAACTATCTCAAGCAGCATGAACACGTCAGTCAAACGTGGGTTGAGCAGAACAGACAACACATTGGTTGGAACGGGACAGGGAAATATGCAGAAGGAGACAGGACGTAGGATACCGAATCAAAAAGGATGAGAGCATAGATAGTGCCGGGGTCTAGCAGGGCAGCTAAGAAGAGAGGACGGGCTGAACCAGCAAGAAAAAGAAGGGCAAAGACAAGGGCCAACAACCATCACCGGAACGAGGCCGACGGAGCCACCATGGCGCAAACTTTGTCCCCGCCGATCAGGCCGAGGGTAGAAGGAGAGAACGGATATTCAGGAAGAAGAGAGAAAGGGGAAGAAAAGGGAGAACAAGAGCGCAGGAAAGAAATATAATACGGAGAACGGAGCATTGTTCCGTTGGTTGCGGAGTAATTATTATATAGCTACTTTAGAATCAAGCCAGAAACTCAGGGGTTGGATGGAGAGAGAACAGAGAGTGGAGAGTGGAGAGTGGAGAGAGTGTTTGGGTGTTTGGGTGTTTGGGTGTTAGTGTTAGGTGCAGATGACGGCCAGGGCAATTAGGCTTAGTCAGGGACTCCTACGCTTCTGATAGGAACTGGGCGCTGGCAGACAGCCAACAGTCAATCAAATATTTATAAATAATCATAATAAATCTACTTAAATCTTATCTCTTGAAATTAAATTAGAAATTACTCTTTTCTCTTTAAATCAGGAATGTCACTCAGCTGAAGCTCACTCTACCAGGCGGGATTATTACTGCTGTTCATCCACATCCCTCACTCTAGTTCTGTCTATCAAACTTTCCCATGGGCCCCGGAAGCAGTAAAGAAGAGAGTCCAGGCCCAACGCGTGCAGCAAACAGGTTGTCCACCTGGTTTGCGGCGTCACAATGCACAATGCACGCTGTTCCTGGCATGATGAGTCGTTTCTTTTCTCACTCTGGAACTGCCTTGTGTTTACTCCGTACTCCCGCCCTCTTATGCTTTAATTATGTTACAATTTGATAATGACTCGTCGAGAATCTCCCTACCGATCCCGTAACACGTTCGTGTTTTGCAATATAATAAATAGTAACAATAATACCACATTCGCACACGGAATAGCAAACAACAGTTATGAATAATTAAGCTTGGATATTCCCCGGATTGTGGAGTTGTCTCCCGTCTCTGGATCGCGCTTAAATTATCACCTACCCATGGTTACAAACTCACTGCTCTCTCCAAACAAGGTTCGTCCCGTGCAAGAAGATGCGAGACAGTTATGGTAGAAACTGGCAATTCCCGGCAATTTCACCAACTTCTCAGCCCCGGTTTCGAGCTTCACGGATTTCAATGCGGAGTTGCGTGGTTGTGGTTGCAACCTTGCCACAAGAGCCAGGACTAATCGAAAAAAATTTGACCTCACTAAACCACCAACCAGTCCTAGAGTCCTTGGCTTCATTCGGGGCACTTCACATACATCCCTTGAATGCCGAGCCAAGCTCTATTTTAACAGGTCTCCTCCGTATTTATCACCAGATACCACCCTCACTTTTTCTTGTAATCTCCCTAGACTCAACTAACAGAGCTATGGCACAAATGATCTATTATAAATATTCCACGGTTATCGCGGACATAACGAGAGAGGACCGGAAACCAGCCGAAGTCACCTGTGCTGTGTAACCTACGGTCCGGCAACTATACTCTAGCATCCAGCCTAGCACGCGAAGCCAAGCAAGGATGCAAATCGATTGATACAAGGCGACAATGGATTCATTAATGCACTTCTGCCGATTATGCACTTCTGCCAATCCTCTTCGCCATAAGAGGGGCCTGACCACACGGCCAAATGATTTCTCTCGAGAGAGGACCCCCGGAATCCACCATTTCCCTAGTCTGGCAATTCTTTACGGGCCACAAAAAAAGGGCTGAAGTCTACGGAGTACAGCTCTCCCAATAATACAAGATGAGATGCATCGTGAAAATCAGGTTCCTGCCAAGGGCCAAGAAGTTTAATCTAACCGATGGAAACGTGTTCAGGCTTTTTTTTTTTTTTCCAAGTTTCCAGCAGCAAGTAGACCCATTCTACCTCTTGCTGACCCCGGTTTCACAACAGAATATGGGTTCAACCCCCGTCTGTGGTTCTTTGTTCTCCAAATTCCATGCCAAACCACTCTTACATTCAAATCCATACAGTTATATAACTTTGCAAACAGTTAAATCATGCGGTTCAAACAGTCAACTCAACAAAAAGAAAATATTTTCACCGCCAGAAAACCACCGCAATGCTACAGGGTAATGGTTTCACTAGCATCGGATTGAGCCCAACCCACCATTAGCTCACTGCTGTTGAGAAGCCAATCCCATCTGGACCTCTGGGGGAGGGGGGTCAAATGATGACCCTGGATCCAATTAGTTCAATAGTCTCCATCGCTAGTCTACAGGGGAAAAGTTCAACCCCTGGTCTAGTTAAATTTCATGATGCACCCGATGAGTGGAGAGTGGCACTGGTTGAAGACAATCAGACCCTCGTGGGTTTTGCAGCAAACGCGGGAAAATGGAGATCCCTGGGGTAGCTCATCCAATCATTGTCAGCCAGCAAATTTTTGGGCTGCGGCCTCAAATTGGAGCTAATAGTTGCCAACCAGTAAAGGGGTCACAATATAAGGTACCTCCATACTTCCAGAACTCCCGGTGGAGTTTTCCATCAACAAGGATCAAGGTACAAGAATGATAGTTAATTATGCCCAAACGACTGTACGTGTATAAAATAGTTAACTGCTACAAACTGCATATTTGCACTGAGCGGCACGATGAGACACATTTCCCGCCTGGCTTTGCTCAGTTTCTTTTTTGCTTTGCTCCCGCGTTCTATATCGATCTCCACCCCACCCTTAACTTACCCTTATCAGCCGATGACTTTGACGCTCTAGAGATTGGAGTTATCCGAAGTATGAAAGCTGGAAATCACTTTTTAGAACAGGCCTTCTGCCTTCAGTGGCGATCCTCTCTCCGACCGATACGTTAGAGTTAGCCAATAATCCAAACAGTTGATAATCCGACTGTGTCCTCTTAAGCAACCATAATCGTCGATGTGTGCTGTTGCCTTTAATCGGCCCGAAAAACTCACCCACCATCGGATATCGTCACTATTTCTGATATACCACCTCAGCTCTATGGAGTAGCCAATAAAAACGGCATAACGCGCTGCGATCGGTATGCACCTCGTACACTTTTAACCCTATCCTGCAGAGCTGGGCTAAAAAACTACCGCTCTGCTTGCGCCAGTCAACCTTTTAGATTTTACGATTGTTAATTGGATGATAAGAGTATACATTCCCCAGAATGAATGCGATTCCGGGGAAGATAAATCCATTAATTGAATATCTTCCCGA